AGCATACCCTTTTAGCATCGTGCTTTTCATCGCTCCGCCTTCTGGTATCGTCTTCATTCAACTGCTCATGGGACTCACTGTTATTCTCGGTATGGGCCTTGGCTGGGGCTGGGGCGTCCTTACCATGAAAGCGGCTCTTGTTGCTCGTCCACAAGCAGACACCAATGCTCGACTGGCCGAGCTCCAAAGAGCTGCAACCCAGAACACGACCAACGTTGGCCAGCTTTCCGGCCAAACTACTTATGCGCAAGTCCTAATCTTTGAGGGATTCATGCTTGATGCAAGAGTTACGGCAGTCTACTATTGCATGATCTGTGTACTGATATACGCTTTGGTAAGATAACATGGTCGAACTCCAATCGCCAGCTGCTCACAACTCACAGGCACGTATGCGCGTGGCGAACCCCAAGTTCACCCTGGTTCAGATATTTGGCACCATCATTAGCGATATTTTCCTCACAACCGGGCCGATACTACCTTCGTTCTCCGGAAAAATACCCCTAGTGTTGATCAAGCCTGCCGCTACTGCTATTGGGATTGGAGCACTTTGTAACATCCTCATCTTCCCAGAATCAACCTCACATATTGTCCTGAACAATATCAAGCAGATTCTCTCCCCTATGATCGAGTTTGTCGACGCTTGCAGGATAAGCCTCGACACTGGTGCACGCCCGTTGAGCCGCCAGAGACTGAAGACGGCCAAGGCTCAAGGTGTGGCAAGCTTCAGGGCCTTGGAGGCTCGAATGGGCTTCCTCCCGCTTGACGTATCTGTGTGTCGTTGGAATTCTCAGGACATTGGTGAGTTGAAGAAGCCACTCCGGTTTGTTTTCATAACCTGGATTGGCCTTCTCGAGGCACAGATCAGTAGATCCCAGTCTACAGAGCGACTAGCACAGCTTCAAGAGAGAAGTGAAGCAATGAAGCTAGGAAAAGTATCGGAAATGCAGCCCAAATTTGGTCGACACCAGATTGCACAGCAGCTTGATTTTGCGCAATTGTTTCGGAATGCCGAAACGGAGGATCTGATCACAAAGAGCATGTCTGCATTACATGAATCTTCCACTCCCCTCCTAAGGAAATGCAATGAAGCCATTCAAGCCATGATTGAAACTTTGAGTGTGGTAAATGAGAAAAAGTGGTATGGGCGCCCATCCGAGGAAGCGCTCAGTGAAATGCTACAGCGCCACGAGAAACTTCTCGTGGATTTACGCAGAGAGTGTGAGACGTTTGTTGCGACCACAACACCACGAATCCTTGACCACCATACTCACCTTTTCGATGTCAATGGTAATCTTGCGCCTTCCCCGAGTCTTGGTGCGGTACCACTGCGAGGTGTCGTACTAGGTCTGATCTTTGAGGAACGGTTCACAATCTTTGCTCGATCAGTGACGCAGCTATTAGCTCAATTCGTCGCATTGGAAGGACAGCGTAAGACACAGAGGCTGTGGCTTCCTGTTGGACTACGCCACTTTGGCTCATGGGTTTCGGGTCGACAGCCCACGCCGCAGATCACGCCGACAAGTCCAGAACTAGAAATGGAGAAAGAAGAATCCAGATCACGACCTCGCCATCGCCACCGGAAGAATAAAGCAGCAAGCGGTGAGAAGGATTCACAGTCCCAACTGCCTAATGCCTCCGAACAGCTTGCCTCCATCCATCTTCATCGTGGCAAAACTCGAAGTCCACTTGGACGTTTCGTGCTGGCTTCTACTCATTGGATTTCGAGCACTGCTGGAATGTTCGCACTTCGAATGGTCATCGCAACCATCGCTGTCGCCATTCCTGCTGCAATTCCCTCAAGTTCAGGGTTTTATTATAGGGAGAAAGGTCTTTGGGCGTTGATCATGGCCCAGTTAGGTCTTGTGCCTTATGCTGCCGACTTCACATTTGGTCTCATCCTTCGAATCGGAGGTACTGTCATAGGAGGAATTTTCGGAATGGTTGTTTGGTATATCGGTGCCGGAAATGGGCCAGGGAATAGCTATGGAATGGCTGCCATTTTTGTGCCTTTCATCATTGTTCTGATGTGGCTTCGACTGTTTGCCTCTCCGGCGTTCATGCAAGCCTTCATCATCACTGGAGCAACCCTCTACCTGACCGCCGCCTACAGCTGGGTGGACACACACATCCCATCATACGGCAATCCAGGAGTGGGCTACTCCGTATTCTGGAGACGGATTGTTCTCGTCTTGGTTGGCTTCACTGCGTCCGCAGTTGTGACCTACTTTCCTCGCCCACCAAATGCAGGTCGCCACTACAGACGGGTTTTGTCGCGAACACTTTCGAGCTTCCAGGATCGATATGCATTACTTGTCACCCATGCTACCCATGTCGAACATGAAAACGACACCGTAGGACAAAGCAATGTCCATCCGCTCGGTAAGACAGGTTTTATGACCACAGTCGAGAAAAGTACGATTGATACGGCCGACCTGCTCTCTTCAATTCTTGGTCCTATCCAGTTGCTCAAGTTCGAATTCTCTTCTACGGATTTTACAGCTGAAGGTCTCGGCAAAATCACACTACTCACCACTAACATAAATTTCAATCTCTTCCAATTGTTCTACTACCTTTCACAACTCCCACCAGAGTTCAAGCGGCGATTTTTTCTACTCAGCGGCGCTTTTGGGGAACAATTTGTTGGTGATTTCATGGGGGTCTTGAGTTTGTTGTCGCACAGTCTTGAAACAGGAAATGCACTTCCACATGTACTGCCAGCGCCACTGACAGTGAGGGCGTTCCGTGGTCGCGTCGAAACTTTCTATCATCCGCACGCAGAGGAACATATCGGGCAGAACTCTAATACAGTCGAATCCATGGACAATATCAATCACGAGACTGGAGAAGAGAGCACCACGCATATCAACAGCGTCCTAGGACCCATCAAGAGGCAAATGCTCGAGACCAAGAACGAGGGATTCAGAAAATATTGTGTCGTACTATCATCCATGGTCGGCTTGCTAAATGCAATTGATGACATGGTCTTGGTAGTGAAAGAGGAGCTGGGCGAAGCACATTTTGTGGATATTGAAAAATGGACAGGTGGTCTCGGCGCACCAGACAGAAGATCAGTGCACGTTGCGGATGGAGATGATGAGACAGGGGCAGGAAATGAAGTTTCAGATGTGAATATCAAGGATAACGACACAGAGCAAAGTACTAGAAAGGAGAAGAAGACTATCGCTGTCTAAATGACGAAATGTTTGGACTGTGAGTCGTCGGGAAAGTATCCTTCAACTGAGACACTTGATCTTATTACTAGTGCTTGGGGTTGAGTACAGTAGTTCTGGAACACGATCATAAGTTGGAACTTGAGACATTGGCCTTGTAAGATACACACGCATTTTTCAATATCCAGCGCGATTACTGCCAGTAACTGCGATCATGGCCACGAATATATCAATTATATTACTAGTATGATCGCATCTGTGTCATCTCTTCGCAGTATCACTATACTGTGAAGCCGACGTACTCGCGGCCAAGTCTGGCATTGTCGGGCCATGTCCACCGCCCTTGTCAGTGTCGTACATGGCTTGAATGTCTAGAAAGGTTTTGCCCTTCGTCTCAGGGAGAAAGAAGTAAGTGAATACCAACGCCACAAGGTTTGTGCCTGCGAAGATATACGCGACTCGCGCCCCGAGATTCAATGCGTCAGCGTTGGCCAGTCGAGGCACTGCAAAACTAATCACGATCGCAGTGATGTAAGACCAGAACTGACTCCACCCAACGGATTTCTCCCTTAGGTGAAGCACAGCAACCTCGGTTTGAATCAACCAACTCAACGATCCATAGCCAATTGTGACGAAGAAACCAAGGCACAAGAAAACCCCGGCTATAGCCCTTGAGCGGCCGGATCCCTTTTCCAAACCGGCCACAGCTAGGCTGGCGGCCGTGATATTGAGACCTGCAATAATAGGGAGGAATATCAATGCCACCGGACGCCGTCCCAGGGTATCGACAAGATATGGTCCGACGATTTGGCCAACAAACATAAGACAATTGATGAAGATATTAACTTTGAAGGCATCGCCCACCCCAGCCTGGGTTAAGATCACCGTTGCGAATGTTCCAACCATAATTAGTCCCGAGACTTGTTCGAAATTCATGAAAGCCCCACTAATTAGTGTCCGTTTGATGTTGGTGCGTGAGAGGATTTCAAAGAATCCCCCAGAGGAAGGGCTAGCTGCCACTTTTGTAAACGCTCTGCGGTAGTCATCAACCTCTGCGACGGCGAGACGCGTATTCGTGCCGCGAATTTGGTACAGGATGAACTCGGCGATATCGTACTCGGCTCGTAAGGCGTGCCATTGTGGCGATTCGAGAAGGAAGAACGACAACAGGCCAAAAAATGCATTGAGACAAGCCTGGACCCCAAGAGGGATTTGAAACTCGAGATCCGTGTCGAGCTTCTCACAGATCCAAACGACTGTACTGCCCAGAATCCCAGCTGCCATGAACATCAGAGAACAGATGCCCACAATGCGACCACGGACATGGGCAGGCGCTATTTCCGATAGGTATAATGGTCCGGTGTTGGATATGAAGCCCAGTCCAACATAGTGGAGCAGGCGACCAGCAACCAGTGCTCCTATATTTGGCGCAAATAACTGAAGTAGAGCACTTGGTAGGCAAACACAAAATTGTGCCCATAGAAGCGTCTTCTTTCGTCCTATAGCTTTCTGCATTGGTGGCGCAGAGACACTTGCGATGATCGCCCCTATGATTGGGACTGTCACGATAAGGTTGAGGTTCTTTGTCTGTGACAGTTTGAGCATGTGGTTCCGAGAATACACAAGGTAGCGACATACGGCCAAGGGTCCAGAATTTCCTTGATACTTCTCTGCAAACATCGGAAGAGATAATAATGGACCAACAATAGACATGTCATACCCAACCATAGCCATCGAACCACCGAGGATGAGGACTGGGAACATGAATCGATGTCAGCTTTACACAATCTCTCGAGTAACCGAGTTGGCTGCGATGTCGCGCCTTACAAAAGGCAAGCTTACCGTGGGCGATCAACGAGAGGTTCCACCATCGCGCCAGTGATGCCAGTTGCGACCAGTTCACAGAGATATCTCCACCACTCTTCTCATTTGGGTCATCTTTCTCGACGTGGACACTATCCGCGTAGCCTGACATGCCTAGACATGCTTCTCTTTAAGCCAGCACGATATGAAATGCGTCGGGCATACGTAATGGATTGAAAGCTCGCACAGTAGGCTGGGTGGTAGGGCTGAGGGAGGATGCTTAAGTAAGAGGAATTTTGTTACTCCAGGAAGACTTTGATTCCAACGCCAAGTTGGGGTCCAGAATTGGTTCAAGACAAAAGGAGTGCTGCTGCAAGTTTCATGGTTCGGCCTTTGAAGGCTGGTGCGTCATAGGCAGCTTCATGGAGATTAGCTCTGCACCAAAAAAGTATCGCTAAACGAGGGTGCGAGTCCCTTAGATTGCAGTTTGGGCCAAGCAGCCAGGCTATTCACGAGGTTTTTGTTTCCAACCAATTCGATTCCTGTCCACCCATCTAGTAGTTGTGCTCCCTATGGTTGAGAGCGAGTTAGACGTTGCAATCTCTGGAATCACGAGCACAAGCGGTTTGATTAGGATGTATATAGTCCAACTCCTCTACAGTTGCACTTATCCCTTATTGAATATGTGGCAAGGCTGGTGGTGGCTTCGAATTCGCCTCAGACGCTCAAGACGCAAGACCATCAGTAGTCGCTCAGCGCACTTAAAGTGTAACAGTAGTAACACAAAATGGCAATCAAACAGTAGTCTGGACGCTCACCAATCCGCCCCATGTGGAGCAGGATATCAGGCGTCCCATCCTCAACTCGACGTTTCATCGGGACAACCTGCGCTGAACCCTCCGCCGTAGCCCTCCCGAGTTTTCTACGTCAGATCACAGAGACCTTTATCCTCCCACGTGACGGCATCTCCCTTGCCGCCGTCCTGGACGTGGGCGTTGTCCTTTCCGAGCGCTATGGGGTGGGGAGCTCGTATCTCAACCATTCAATCTCCAGGCTTTCATCCACTACTTGGTACTGTTCCCAGATCAGCTTGGTGCGAGGGACTTGTAGGGGCGTTGATTTGGGTTGACTTTTCCCACACAAAATCACAAAGTTGCCCAGATCCCCAGGATTTTCCCGACTCGTAAAATCCTCCCAAGTCTGTCCAGCTCCAGCCCTCGCTTCCCCGTAGTTTCCGATCCCATGGTTCTCGCGTAATGCCCAGACCATGTCGATGACAGCTCAGCTCTTCCTCATTTTCTCGACCTCTCCAATTCGACCATGGTCACCTACCGTTCCCTTCAACGTCTATCTTGATCGCCGTTTTCCATCTTCCCTTTCAAACCTGATTGAAGTCATCTCAATCTGGAGCCTAGGCTCTGTGCATTTTTTTAGTTGTCCCAAGATCCAATATCAACCTTCCGGGTTACCGGGGCGAGATCTTAACCCGCCAGTTCCGGCAGCCTCATGATTGAGGCTCCCACGATGTTATGTCGGCACAGAGATCTTTCAGCCAGGCGCAACTAGATCGTCTTGATGTCGCCGCTAGGGTGTCGGCATGTCTGTCTCTGGCAGGGTCTGCCTGGACGATGATCAGTTATATCGCATATACTCCCCTACGAAAACCAGTCAATCGATTCAGTTTCTGCATCTCAATCACCAACAGTCTTGCTTGTATTGCGTATGCATGGGGTCGTCACCCAGTGAATGCTGGGAGGAATACAGCATTTTGCCAAGCACAGGGCTTCTTCATCACTTGGTTTGTGATGACGGATCCTTTACTAGTACGATAGCCACTTCACATCCCAAAGGCTTCGCCGTTAACATTCTACCCAAGGTCCTTGTCATGGCGCTCAATGTCTACTTGACGATATGTAGGAAACGAACGTTGAGGGAGCTCAGGAAAACAGATCTTTTAGGAATGGGACTTGCCTTCTTTCTCCCATTTCCTTCCGCTTTGACATTCTTACTTTGGCGACCCAACGGTCGCACGGTCTATGGTGATGCAACAACATGGTGTTGGATTTCTCGAGAGTCAGGCATCCTTCGTCTTGCTGCATTTTACATACCTATTTGGTAACTGTCTTCGCCCAATCTTTACTGATCGAAACTGCTGACTATTCAAGGATTTCGATTCTTACATCACTATCACTTTTTGCCCTTAGTGGCAAGAGCATACTCCGAGTCCGGCAGAGGCTGAAGGCTGTCAAAGTCCAAAACCCCCTTCATCAACGAATAAGTGGTGAACACAATTATGACGAGGGCTACCGACCGAATGGAACTTTCGATTCCAACTCTTCGGAGCAGGAGCGCCCTTCACAGGTTGTTTTCCATGAACCAGATTTCTCGGATGATCCGAATTCGAAAGATTTGCAACCTCTGGCACCAACTTATTCTCGTGAGCTGTCAATATCTCGTTCTTCGTCAAACCAGATTGCCCCGGGAAGCGGTCGGGAACGTACCCTCTCCACGACAAGTCAAACCCCGCTGCGAAGGACTCCCTCTCGGTTTGACGCTGTACATTGGAAGTATGCCCAATTTGCATTCCTGTACACAATTGTCCTCCTTATAACATGGGTTCCGATCAGTGTTAACCGTGTATATAACACTTTTATTGCCCCCAACAACCAGATATATAGCCTATACCTCGCCTCTGCCATTTGCATTCCTTTTCACGGACTAGGCAACTCGATCATATACACCATCACCAGCTGGACGGAATGCGCCCAGTTTTTGAAGGGCAAGCCTGCCAGACGGCCAAGTGTGGCATCGGATATGTCATGGGGTATCCGTGAAATTCTCAAGGACTGGGCAAAGAGATCATGGTCCTCGGTGTATAGGAAGCGTGCACGGGCAGGGACTGCTGCAGGCTGAACCCAACAAGGCTCTGTGACTAACAATAAACATCGAGAATCTGGATTTCAAATGTATCTCGACCTGGCGTGGTATTACAAGCCTCACCAGCGAATGATCACCTGCTCAAGGTTTGCACCATAATGCCCTCAATCTTCGAGCGCATCAGCAACTGAGTGTCGCAGTGCACCCTTGACAACTTTGGGCCGAGGATTGAACTCCATGGTGTCACACTTGCACCATGGTTCTGTTCAGAGTCTTGGACTTGTCGTCAGAAGCTACACCTGGTACTTGCCCGTGGTGCATCGCAGCAGCAATGCGATCAGTTGTCGTGGTCTCGATCGATGCAATGATGTCGAAGAATATCAACGGAGTGAGTATTGAGGTCTGCGACAAAGATGTTTAGTTGGTAGACGTCTCTCAGCCACGAGCGGTGTCCTAGCCAGATATAAGTTCTGTTGAGGACCTAGGCCAGAAATGCCTCGTCCCGAGAGATTGGCCACGAAATGAGACCAATGAGGGTCTGCAGTGCGTCCCTGCCGGGTGTTTGCTTTGCATCATGATAAGGACCCTTCACAATCAGCTACGGTGCCGACGCCACTGGTCGAGGAGTCCCGAGTATGTTTGCAAATTCCCACTGTTTCCTAGTATGCGAAGGAACTGATCGAAAAGCATGCGGTAACATAGTTTAACTATAGGCTATCCATTCGCCATCCCAAAGGCGAACGGCAATCCAGGGGAAAGCTCCGCGTGAACGGGGTCACCAAGGAGCCATTGGGACTTATCTGGCTAACCAGCGTGTGGACGCAATTCGAAACTAAACATCTCCCACTCCAACCAATGATATGTACCGTGTTGGCCATAGAATTTACATGCTTGGAACGTTACCTGTGTAGCAGCTTTGTGCTCGATTTGTCCATATGGAGAAGTGAAGGTGGTATTTCCTAGGTACTCTTTCTGGGCAAGCTGGTCCATGTCGATGAAAGATGGGAGCATTGTTTTACTTGGTATGGTTCTATCGAATCACTTGTCTGGATGAGGTTCGTCGAAAGACCCATTCGTGATAGATCTTCGGAACGATGCCAGAGCATCGGGATGGTAGTAAAGCCTTGAAATCGTATTACGGGGGACCCACAGCTACCATTAGACTCATTCACATGCTTCGAAATTCAAAATTCCACGGAACTAAATTTCGGCTGCTGAAATTACGGACGAAGTACCAGTACTACCTTAGGTATTCGAAGTAGGAGGCCAAGTGCCCACGGGGTGCCAGGCACACCACGGGGCAAACTTTGAAATCCCGGGGCTCCCACCCGATGGACTCCGAGAGGACTTGCCAAGGACGTCCAAAAACGGAGTCAAATCCTCTATCAGACCACACATTCAGCTCACTGATGGGCTATGTCACCTTGTGGCACGCTTGGTCAGGACATGGCGTTAACGCCTTTGGCAGCCATTGGTCCTTTTTCCCGTTTTCCAGAACACAGTTTGGAAACACTAGAACAACCTTCAACGAAGTCTAGGCCCCAAAACATGCATTGCCAGTGTTCTTCCTGTGCCTGTCCAACCCTTCGAAACGTACCACTTTCTATCTCATACAGCGCGGCGCAGTTGAGCCTAAAGTTGGGAATTTATATAAGTGAAGCAATCATATAAAGACTGTGCCATATCTGAGCCTGGCCGGAGCAAAGGAAGCAAGGCTCTATTCAAACAACCATGGTCTTACAGTGCCCGCATTGGGGACCCCGTGCTCATTCCTTACTGGCGAAGGTCACCAATCAGACCCACTTTACCATAGCCGACCGATCGGCTAAGGCAACTACATTTCGGCGGGTTCATCATAATCAGTGTTATACTTCATAAAACTTCGAATGGATCTTGTATAAAGAGACTCATATATCCCCAGGGTTTAGATCGATGCTCATCATTCTCGAGTAAAGACAACTGCTTGTTAAACAAGAACAGAAGTGGATAAATTGAAATCCCGACTCTACAAATATGGCTGCTTCGCGATCCAATTCTGTGGAGAACGGCCTCAAGGTTGAAAAGCCTGGTGATGTTTTCATCGAGAGATCTGAGGATATCAATGCTTTGGAAGATCCCGATGCCGGCAAGAGTGATGAGGAGAGAGCTGCCATCGTGAGTCACAAGAACAAGTCTTCGCCGTCAACCACAATGATTCTAACTATGGACACAGGATCGCAAGCTGATGTGGAAGGTCGATCTCTGGCTTATACCATGGCTATGTTTACTGTATTTGTTGAGCTTCTTGGACCGTACAAATATCGGCAATGCACGTCTTGCAGGACTTGAGACAGATCTCGAGATGGTTGGACACGATTACAACAACTCATTGACCATTTTCTTTGTAAGTGTTCTTTTTGTCGAGATATGTATTGTGTCCCTTAGCTAATGCTTGGCTTCCAGATCAGCTACGCTCTTGCTGAGCCATTGACGAACGTCATGCTTAAACGACTTACTCCTCGCTATTTCTTCACTGGTATCATACTTTCTTGGGGCGTCATTATGGCATTGATGGGTTTGGTTACCAATTACTCCGGTCTACTGGCCTGCCGCTTCTTCCTAGGACTTGCTGAAGCTGGCTTGTTTCCTGGTAAGATGCCTTCTAAAAGGCCACTCGCTGAAAGAGACTAATCTAGAATCTAGGCGTTAACTACTATCTCAGCTGCTGGTATAAGCGCAGCGAAATCGGTGTTCGTGCCGCCGCATTTTTCTCAGCCGCTGCTCTTGCAGGATCTTTCGGCGGCTTGTTAGCTGCGGCGATCGCACGGATGGACGGCATAGGTGGAAAACCTGGCTGGGCCTGGATCTTTATTATAGAGGGAGTGGCCACGGTGTTCGTGGGCCTTGCGTGTTGGTGGATGGTTTTCGACTGGCCAGATACTGCTACATTCCTTACTCCTGAGGATAGAATCCGCTTGCGACGCCGCCTTGCCGCAGACAACCAGGCTTCGACTCATGAGGAGTACGACAAACGTCATATTTATGCCGCTCTGACAGACTGGAAGACCTGGCTTTACGCATATATCTACATGGGCTGCCTAATCCCTCTGTACGCATTCTCACTTTTCCTACCCACGATTCTACGTGGTATGGGTTACACGGGAACACACGCGCAACTTCTCTCGGTCCCACCTTATGCCTGTGCAGCTGTGTTGACTATCACCATCGGCTGGCTCGCAGACCGAAGCCGTCTCCGAGGATACTTCAGCATGGGAATATCTTGCCTTGCTATTATTGGCTTTTGCATGCTCATCGGCTCAACCAACCCCAAGATCCAGTATGCAGGAACCTTTCTTGGCGCTATGGGTATCTACCCGTGCATTCCCAACACCCTTGCGTGGGTTGCCAACAACGTTGATGGCGTCTATAAGCGTGGAGTCGTCCTAGGAATAGTGGTTGGCTGGGGCAATCTCAATGGTATTGTCTCATCGAACATTTACCTCAAGACCGAAGCACCACATTTCTACACTGGTCACGGAGTCGTCCTCGCGGCGTTGACCTTGTGCCTGTTGGGCGGTACTATTGCTATGCATGTTCTCTTGAGAATCGAGAACCGCAAGAGACTGTCTGGAGCCAGAGACAATATGCACGAGGGCAAGACTCCGGAGCAAGTCTGGGTTTGTGGTGACAAGAGACCTGATTTCATTTACACTCTCTGATCATCAGGATGTGGATGTGCATTTGATCTGGAGATTACGAGACATAGGAGGTGATGCCTGCTTGTCTGGCGACCAGGGAATACGGCAGAGACAGAGTGAGGGCTCACAATTGACCAGCACGAGTTTAGTGGATGTTTTAGACTTCTTCGTAGAATAAGGAGTAAACATATTTTCAAGTACCAAGCATGTCTGAAGTGGTGAAAAATAAGGCTGACATCGCCGAGAAAAACAGGTTCTCGTCTATCCTTACTTCGCCATCAGATCAGTGTATCTCTTAAAACGCAGGCTTTATTCCTACTACAATTGAGAAAGGAACGGTAATGCGGCCTTCCCGACATTTATGAACAGCCTCTTATGTCAGATGTCGTATATGCCTGGGGAAGGAAAGTATTGCGTGCAGCGATCCAATGGTACGCCCGAAGCCATAGCCGACGAGGCTGACAAGTAATCCAGAGCGAGGGAAGTCTCCGATATCCCGTCAACAAGTCTCCGAGGCCATAGTAGAATGCACAGTCGGGCTTACTGGCATGAATAATATGCCAATTCTCTACCATAAATACCTAGCTGTGAGCCAGCCAGAGAATCGAACGAGCCCACAAGATTTTGTCTCCGTACCATTATTCAACAATATCAATCCGCACATATGAATCTCAAACTATTCGTCTTCAACGGCGGCCCAGCACCACGCCGTGTGGTGATTTACCTTGTGGAGCGCAACTTCAATGAAGATGCCTCAGTCGAACTCATCCAATGTACCATTGCCGCTCCGGGTGCCCCAGCTCTCGCACCCGGGAAACCACCTGGCTCGGTGCCCCTCCTGCACCACCCAGCTACAGGATTCACCCTTCGTGAATCGCTCGCAATAATCGACTACCTAGAGGACATGGCTGAGGTGCAGGGCCTGTGGACAATGCGTGGCCGAACGCCAAAGGATCGCGCGAAGACTAAGGAGATGCTAGGCCTCATTGATGCCGTAACGACGGATGTCGAGTACGCGCCAGCGTTTGGGTGTAGGCTGTTTGCGCCGGTAGTCGGGGGTGAACAGTCTCCTGCGGCGGTGAGGTGGCTGTTGAGTCGTGCGAACCAGAGTCTTGAGAGGATCGCAGAGTACGCTGCCGAGGGGACGCCATGGCTCCTGAGATTTGAAAGAGAAGAGGAAGCGCAGGTCACGGTGGCCGATTGCGCTTTGTTTGCCATCTTGCAGTATGCCGAGAATATGTTCGGGTGGGACTTGACGGAGGATCATCCTCGGCTGAAGACCTTTTATGGCGCGTTCAAGCTGAGGCAGAGTGCTTCTATTCCGGAAGGGACTTGGCCAACGCAGCTCACAGATATGACAAAGGATTGGATAGAATATTGAGAGGGGTTTGTCCCACAAGATATGTGCCCCATTGCCAAGCTGGAGGCACGATCAATGATTCCATACAACGTTGCCCCAGTTCCACAATCCTGGACTGCGTATAATGGTGAACAGCTAACATTGCGACATTGCTGGATTTCCCCACCAGTTTATTTTGGCTGCTACCGGCCGAAGATCATTGGCGTACCAGCTCCTACACTTGAAGTTCCAGAACCTTGCATAATTTGCCCAGACCTAGGGGAGAGCAACAATCGTTTTGTAGACTTCATAGCAATCGTCACCAGCCATAGAAGGATTGTGAGTACTCCTAGATTTCCGTCTGAACTGTAAGTCGGCTTTCTTGTAATCATCGGAGAGAAACTCAGCATGTGTGTCGGACCAGCGTGCATGCCTGGGAATGATCTCTGCCAGCAGCTCCACGTCTTCCGGAATGGGCTCGTCAGGATTGTACACGAAGTTAGCCTCGTTTTCTTCCAGGGCCATTCGTTCGCGGACCACGATTGATATGAGCTTGCTGTCCCAGTGTCCTTCCCTGCCTGCCAGGCTCAACGCTTGAAGCGCACGTCGTCGCAAGCCAGGGTGGCGACATAGACATCCGGTAGTGTAGAGAGGTTCAATCACACGGGAGTCGAGACTAATTGCCGGTAATCTGGGGACTAGATCTTCGCACAGAGCCACAAGTGAGGAGAAATAAGGCAGGAGCGGGTCAAACACCATATCGTCGTGGCGGCACAAGCTAATCCGGACAACAATAGTGAGATAGAGATGACTTATGCGCAGGGAAATTGATCGCTCGTCTCCATTAGCACCAGGCGATGACGCTCGTGGTATAGTGCGCAGTGGGCTACTGTCGAATGCTGCTTTCCACTGCCTCAGTGCAGCAAGCAGCTTTCCTTGCCACAACGCCAGCATTGAGTTCTCATGAATTTGTTCTGATTTTGTCTGGCAGACGACAGCTGCTAGATGACAAGCCTCGTTGTCGAGCAATAGCATCATCCGCCACGCATCGTCAAAGGAATTAAAGGAGGACGGAATGCTGGGAGGATCCGTGCTGCCAATATCCAGGTTGTCGACAAGCTTGAATTGTAGCTCACTGTCGAAATAGACCGACTGCAGATCCATCAACGCAAAGGAATATGAAATTTCATCGAGAGTCGTGGACGCTTGTTGTGGCAACATCAACCTCAACATTGTCGTGTCAACCGCCGAAGTTATGCCATGAAGTCTCTTTAAAATCTGGCGACCGTGGTTGAGATGGACCAGAGCTTCTCGATATCGACCCTCGATGATATCGAACGTTAGCAAGACCAAACAAACAATGAGTACAATATGAGTGTCCTCGATGCTGGCCGTTATTATCCGATTTTGAAGAAAGTGAAGCGCCTTGCCGTAATGAGACCACACAGGAATCATGAAGGTGGTTCGATCTCCACTGGGCAGAACTGATTGGCCCTCCTGATAGACCCTGCACACTCCGGAAAGAGCTAACATAGCATGTAGAATTGCCGGCTCCGCATGAGATGCCGATATTACGGTGTGAGTCCAAAAACGTGTGAAATGATGAGTGGCCATGTTGTGCAGCGTGTAGCGGCGGCAGAAATCATACGAGCGGTAGTCGGGTTCTGATAGCTCGGCGAGGGTCTTCAGGGTCCGGTAAAAGCACAGAGAGTCGACAGGCTTGATTTTCTTCTGAGAGGCCTCATCTGAGGATTCATGCCTCTCGGGACTGGGACAGTAGGCGGAGAAAGAGAATAGATAGCCTTCACAGATATACTTTGACCGTGCACAGCGGAGACAGGTCGGTCTTGTTTCATCACACTTGACTCTTCTGACCTTACAGGTTCGACATCCCGTCCGAACTATAGAGCGTTCATTAGTGATCACATACGTCTATCAGTGGCGTACTCTTGAATACATACCTTTCTCGTGGGATTTTCGAGTCAAGGCCATTAGGTTGGAAGGTGTATTAGAAGTTCTCCCGTCAGCCAAGACTTCGACGCAATGAGATTTATACAAGCAATTCGGTGGTTGAATATAGACCAGCCTCCTAATTTCGAACAACTGTCTAGATTGTGCTAGGTGGTCAGGCTTCCAGCTCAAATATCAATTCCAGTCCAAGTACAGACAATGATGCAGCGGTGTCGACACCATGGGTGGTCAAATTGAGCTAGAAACTATGGCCACAGTGTAGTTAGAATGGAGGCCTCATCTGTGCTGGAGTATCAGATCAAGGCTTTCGCTTTCAGCCTGGAGCCTGACAGGGATGAATAAGCAAGAATTCAGAAGTGGAGGAAAGGCTGATGAGGTTCAGTGGAATCAGAACATCTACACTATAAGGCGTCCCATTAAGGACGTACTCCCGAGCTTCATGTAAGGTTGCTCGATGAAGACCCAGGATCGACCATAATAAGGATTGTTTGTCTCTGCTGTGGACGTGTGGCCGACTCATTTCCTTTCGTGGAAAACTAGTTCGGAAATGCGCGCCAGAATGTTGTAGAAACCGAAGCAGACATGAGGTTGGTTGACGTGAATACTAAAGAGGAGTGGTCGAGACAGTAGTGTCAGAGACCAGCGACCAGACAAGGGATCAAACCACTCAGCGGAACAAAATCCATCTTGGCGCTCGTATGATCCAAGGGGTTGATTGGCTCAATGTCAAAGCCTCACGACAGGCGACGTACTCGTGTCAGCGTGCTCCGTACTCGTGTTAGGGTCAACAGACCCGATTTTTGGAATGTCCTTTTGAGTATCTACTCGGCCCTGTGGTGCTTTATATAAGCCGCTGACTCGCGTGGTCATCGACACTGGACGCCGTATGCCCATTTGTGGAGTGATACCAACCGACCACCATGGAATTGCCAAACAGACTGCCCGTATGCGAAGCAATGGTATTTCTGCCTGAGCAAGATACATCGGAGCAAAATGAAAATCACTGAATTGTCTGGTTGCCCTTTCCTTTGTTGAGGCAAAGAAATGTGGAGACATTGAGCATTATCAAATATCCCCTCTAAATACCACTTGAATATCAGGGTCAGAGCCAACAAACGTGCTGCTGCCGGTCCGTCTGGACAAACCATCACTCTCACTGCAATATCATATGCTAGTTCGAGTTCTTTCTAATCCACAGCAATGCCTCCTACTCCGTCCCAGATCGCCTCTCGGACTTGCTGTACATCACCACCGCGCTGATGCAAAACCGTAACCCAATCTTGGAAGAGAGATGATCCACTCTCGAGGAAGCAAATGTCGTTCGTCTGCTTCTCAACATACTGCTCCACATCAGCCTTTGACACCGCATGGTCGAACAACCACAATAACTGGACCGGTGTGAGTTTGAGGAACGCTTGGACCAAATAGAAACTGTCCAAGTCGGATCCCCAACCTTGCATGTGCTTATGTCGCAGTTCTTGGATCGACAATTTGTTACTATCTGCAACGCAATCTTCCCGGCGGTGAGTGTGAAACGTGTCTGGAAACATGGACCCCAGGTCAACAACCTGGCGCCCTGAACGGTGCCAGGCGTGCATGCCATATCGCGACTCCTCTGGGTGGCGTGAGAAGACATCGCCGTCGGTGGGGCAAAGCTCTGTTGCGACTAAATGTTCAAGAATACCTCGAAAGTCTTCAAAGTCGTGAAGATCCGAGGTGGACCAGCTCCGCAGTAATTGGAGTCGCTCGTAGAGCGCAACTTCAGAACGAAGAGATCGGTAGGAAGATGAATTATAAAAAGCTTGTGAGTACATCCAGAAACGATAGACAGCTCGACGGAGTCTCCGAGCTTCATCCTTGTTCAGGGACCGGCGGTTGGCGCTACGGTCACCGGCCCATTTGATAGTAGGGTAGAGATTGACGAAGCGTTGCCCAACCCGGCCAATTTGAGCGATTTGTGTGAGAAGTGTATAAGACAAAGGTGGAGTTCTTTTGATATGTAGCAATTGATTATCATTGGACGTTAAAAGTTGGATAATCTCATCTGCCGGTCCCATTGTTTGATCAATTGCATTGTAGAATAGAACAAGTTTTTGTGAGCTTGGTAGCAGGGTGTGGAAATATCGACAGGTAAGGGATAGGTTGACGATATCGGTAGCTGAGGAAAGTGCCTCGAACACGTGGACTAGTATTTCTGGTGCGAGCTCTTGCATCGCCATTTCCTATGAAATGAGTCAGCCGACCGATCACCAATGCAGATCAACTTGGGCCATACTATCAAATCTTATCGGCACACGGGCCGATATGTTCAGGTCTGAATTGTGGTCGCAGCCTTCAGCTGCGATGACCGAAGGCTTCAACAAATCAGCACCCCGCCACGGGGGCTATATTGAAGTGACTGGCTTCCCGCGCAGCGAGACCTGGGAGATGATTCATGTTCGTGTTGTTGAGAAGGGTCGCCCGGGAAATGGGGGCCCACATGAAGGTTTGCCATCTCGTTTGGTGGCGGGATGAAAGCCATGGCAGTCTGAGGTCAAACACAGGAAGCAGAGAAGAGGAGTAAAGAGAAGAGCTTGATGTCGGAATTCAAGTTGTTTTTCACACCGCTGGGACGCGACGGAGCAGCGTGAACGGCTTGGCGTCAGCCTTCCACGTGACACGGCCTTGCTGTTCGCTGACAAGCGACATAAGAGAAATTAAAATGATTGGCATTTTGTGCATGGTTGTATGCACTACTAAGCGGTGGTATTTTATCTGCTTGGAAGGCCCTCGTCACCTTTCGAGATCCGACACAATTTCTCTCTGGATTATGTATGGCTTCCTGTACGAACACTGCGCCAGAAAAGGAGACAGATGACACCGTAATCTCTTTTAAAGGTCGGCGGCAAAGCGCGTAGAAGCTGTAGTGTCGATAGTGTAGGCTGAGCGAGCTCATGTGAAGCAGGAAACCAAACCGCCTACGTGATTCAATCAGCCAAAAAGTGTACTGTTGCCAATCGCAGATACCTTCCGCTTTGTTCCAGTATTGAGGCCCAAAGACTTCTTCTTGACAGCGAAATGCTCCGCCTCGCTTCGACGGCTTGCATATTTCTGAGCGTGGCGGAGTCTTGTCTCTCTACGCAGCTGGTTGGGACTAACAAATTGCTTGTTTTCGAAAATGACAGGACCTCCAAAACTTCCTTCCAGGATGACCACGGGGGTCAAGACGAAACGTGGGCCAATCTCAACGAGAGAGACCTCGGCTCCTTCGACAGTCACGTTGCTGGTCTTGTCGGGCTCAGACTCACGGATCTCGTACACTCGGATCCAAATTTTGCCGTCAAGACCATAGATACCGATGACTCGATCAATGAAAGGTTTCATCCCTCGCACCCCCTTCGAAGGAACACAGAATACGCCACGCAACATCTCTCGGATAAGTGCGAGATGCTCTTGACCCGCCAGGTTCTCGTCAAAGCTCTTGTCAAACACAACGATCCCTCTTCCTCCCTTCAGACAATTCCCTCCGAATCCCAATTCGCCCATGGTATGTAAATTTGTGACGTTGAACTTGATCGTGGGTCCATTCGGTGGCTGTGCAAGCCAGAGGTATAGATCCTGACCGTGTTTACGAGCTTCCAAGAAGAAGATATAGTTGCAGGAATGGAGGTCGGCCAATCCATTGAGAGCAGAGTTGTAATTGTTGTTCGATTTGGTGTCGAGCTTGGTATCCTTATAGGTGTGAGGAAGAAGAGCGTGGAGGTCGGTCAAGAGGTGCCGGTGCCTTGGCGCATGTTAGAGCACTATCGACAAGCAAGTAACTGGGGCAGCCTACCTGTATGAAACACCACGAGAAGTCAACATCAATACCCGATTCCTCAATTCCAACGGAAGGTCGGACAGATTTCCATTCCTTTTCGCAGTCTCTTCATGGTCGGATGAATCGGAGGAGTCAGCGCGGAGGGTAGTACTGCTGTCATCGGAGTCTTCTGGGTCGGCTGAGCGCATGGCGGACTTGTATGCAGAAGCCATCTTATTCGAGAGCTGGTGGTTGGCAAACCCGAGTTGGCAGCTACTGGTACAAGATTTGAACGAGGGACAAAAAATTTATGGACATCGGCGATAAGAAGAGCCCGTTGCGGATATAAAAAGCTTGGCACAAGGTCTTACCTAGGTACTTTTCGGTCGTAATGATCCACCGCATCTATGAATGTCCCCAAGGCTGGGGGCTTAGGTACGTACTTAGGTAGGTATGAAGACATCGACAAAATATCAGGGCGAAAGTGCAAAATGTTGAAAGCTTTTGTGTTGTTCCACTAAGTAGTGGGGGGTTCTATCATTGAAAAGCCATTTATTTCGAAAGGTCAGCCGACAACTTTGGGAACTACCCATGCTGGATGCCAACGATCTCGGTCACCCACTACTGGAACAGTTATTCTCACATCTCGAATCTGGCCTGAGGCATCAGCGCCTTGAAAGTGCTTCATCAAAGCGCTGACTGCGATGCCTGTGCCGATGCAAGCCTTAATCGAGTTGCGTACCTCCTTCGTCCACTCTCTTTCAATCACTGGGGTAGCGATTTGATCTCCCTCATGCCCAGTATTGTCCGTGGACACAGGTTGTGCATTCCAGTTCTCTTTAAGAACTTCTTCCCACGCCTTCTTGGCTGTCTGGTTTAATCGTAGAGCCTGTTCAAGAATAGTGATGTCGGACAGCTCTTGCAGAGAACATGCCTGCCGTGCCACAGCGGGGGCTAGTGGCTCTGGGATGGACAGATGCTGGAACGGGCGCATTCTCAATTCATATCTGAGATGATCTGAGGAATAGCTCGGTCTTGGCTGCTGCAAGTGACCGTGTCGTTGAATCACTACCAGAAGCCTGTGTAAAGCTTTTGCTAGAGCCTCGGTGGCCTTTACCCAGGTGAACTGTCGATAAAGTTGGTGCAAGCTGGCCTGCACATTTTCTTGTTGTTTCTTGCCCTGCTTTCGATCACTTGACACGAAGAAGCTGATACGTTCCAGGTGTGACATGTGAGTGCTCGAGAGATAAGACAAATACCAATACATACCCGAGTACTCATGGGGAGCATAGACAGAAAGCTGGAAGCCCATCTGTATGATGCCTCGCAACTGTAGCAGCTTGTAATGATAAACCCAACTGCTGATGGAGTATGAGAATGTAGGGCCATCTGCATCTGGATATTCTTGAGGATATTCTCCAAAAGAAGCATGCACTGTGGTGTCAAGTTCTTCGGCTTCGGCTTGAATCTGGTCCCATTCGAGCGCGGCGTGGCATAAGGTGCGGCGAACTCGGCTTGGGTTGAGGCAAAAAGTTCGGAAAAGGTTGAGATAGGACTGACCATACCGACCGATAAAATATTCAAATTCAGACAACGTCTGCAACTGCTCCTCGCTCAATGTGAGAGTCGTATCAGAATGTTCTGTGACGAGTGCGGTATTTGGTAAGACCAGAAGTTGTAGGTCTTGGGAGATGAATTGTTTCAAGGAATATCGACCAAGGATGCTATTCTGAATGGCAAGGAAGGATTGGAGAAGCGCCCGCACATAGACCGAAGGCTGGGGGTCCTGGCACATGAAACTTTGGTATGCTACCAGCAAGTCCACACTACATGTGATGCTGAGCACTTCGAAAGATCGGGTGGCGTCGGTGACAAGCTGTTTGAAAAAGCGGAATGATTCATCCTTTGGAGTAACAACCATTGGTCGTGGTGGTACACTACTTGCAAATCGACGTTGCAGTTTGAGTGTAAATGCTTCAGTGGAGAATGCTGTGCCCAGACTAGATGAATTTTGGATGCAGTCGATTAGCGAGATGACTTCCTCGCTTGACTTGACTTCTGGTGGCGTCCCATTTTCACAGCTCTGGAGCATGCTCAGAAAGAAGTGTCGCACATCTAAACGAGCCTTCAACGCATCACGCAGTGGTGGATCTAGCCGAAGTTTGGGCAGTTGATAACGTGCATCCTCAAGACGGAGTAGTACGTCTTGCGGTGAAGATATCGAAAGTAATGGTCGGTTAAAGACCTGGGTCGCGAAGTCTTCTTCCTAGACAGTGGCAGTCAATTTCTGGTCGCAAAATTTGAATCCAGGCGTTAAGCATACCTCGTAATAATGATGTCCCGAAACCATTGTGAGGACAAGATCACAACACTTTATGAGGGCCAAGCAGAACGGTTCAAGCACTGCGGTAATAATAGAACCGTCCGACATACCTCCCAAGGCATCTCTATGGAAGCAAGCATCCGAGAGCTTTTTGGGCTCAGGCCAAAGCAGTCGTTCCAGATGAACAGAAGTGAACAGGGTTTGCGAAAGTGGATAACCTTGATGCCAGGCGACCTAGAAACAGTCAGCGGAGCATTTTCCATAGACCTGAGCCATCAAACCTCACGATACATTAGCTCATCCATAAGCCATATCACCTCGGTCGCGGATAGAGGAGTGGTGGCGTCGAAGATCTCATCATCCGAATCTCCGCCGGGGCAGCCGCTGTCCATCTTAGGATCACCAATCTGTGATGAGGTTCAGCGAGAGATGCTCTCCCTGAAAACACATGTTACTGACCTCGAGAGCACCAACAGCCTCGAACAAGGTGAACTCCCCATCCCTGATGAGTTTTCCAGGAGATAACTCTGTGGTCGATTAGTCAAGCTCACTTATGCGAAATACGGAAACGAACTCGACGCCGCATTTTGAAAAGCCTTGGTTATATCCTTGACGTGGATATTTGGATGAATCACACGAGGTTGAACCATATCCTCGACTCACAGGATCATGCGAGAAAGTGGTTGCGGAGGTGTGATGCTTCGGAGATGATTCACCCTCAATTATTGTGGCATGGGTCGAAATGTAGCGGTCTAGAACACGTGGTTATCATCAGCACTATTTGAATTGATCAATGCAAGTGAGCTACAGGCAGCACAAAGGTACCCACGGGTGGGAGCTTGAATATCGAAGATGGACCAGAAGCTGAAGTTTGGATTGTCATGTGCGCTAAAAGTAGTTCTCCGACCGTCTACGCTACCAAATTGAATGTGAACTTTTGGGCAAAAGCACCAGACTCAATGGGTAATATTGTGATTTACAATTGCATGGAATACACGGCGGGCATGGTCGGTCCCCTTCTATGGCTTCACTTTCGGAAATGTCCCTGCGAATTTGCCCATTTATGATGATTTAGCCTCCTGTGCTGCCAGCTCCGATGCAGCTGCAGCGTTGGCCTCGCTCAGATTTTTAACTTCTCCTTGTTTGCCATTCTGTCCCAGCGTCAGTCGAACCTGGTTCACAGGACACGTATGGTGCTGCTGCTGCTCACCTGCCATTTGGCGAATCTTAGGTCCATCTCTCCGCGTCTCTCGGCTTGTAATCTTGGGCCTTCCTTCAGTGAACGACGAACCACTCGTGCGGCAACGGCGAGGTATCGGTTGTAGCTGTGAGAATCAGTACGATGAAAGCGGCGGAGCGAGCAATGCTGCATACGTTATACCGGCAGCTTTCCAGGCGAAGGCCATCTTTGCGGTGAGGAAGCTGAGGAAGAGGGAAGATTGGTTGAGACGTGTAAATTGGTTGTCGATGTCGGAGTGAAGCTCTTCTGAACTCCCTGCAAGCTGCAGCTGCAGATGCAGATGCAGCTTCGAGAACTGCGGTTGCTCCTCTTGGTGCCAAGCTTTTACAAGAACGGAACAACTATTTTGCGTATCTCGACTGCTTTTCCAAAATTAACACTCCTCCGTACTATTTCAGGTCCTTCCTGAACTTCAAACTCTACCTGAATGCTACCTCGTACAAGCATGGTGTGTTATAGAAGCACACCACGAACGCTCGTAGCAGGCTTTGATCTCATTTCTTTCACCTATATAGACGTATGACTCCATCAATCAATCAAGTAGACTATGAATACAAAAGGATCATTACGTCAAGATATTCCAACAAAAGAATGACTTCTGATCATTACTTCAAAGCCTACTTCCAAGATATACTGAAGCACTATCAACAATCTACCGGTATTCTCGAGTGACGACATCATGCCCCCTCCCAGCTCTATCAATTCCTCACACATAAATGAAGTCAATTGTGGACTCAGCTGTGTATCGGTGATCACCATTATGAGTCATATCGTCTCTACTCTTCAAAGGTGGCCCTTAATTTGCGGCGATAGGAATGATCTCCCAACGCGGAGCATTGACAATGATAGCCATGAGACTATACGACACAAGTCCAGCAATTGGCAGTGTGAGGATCCATCCGAAATAAATCCATCCGATCATGCGCCAGTTGATTGCCTTGAGTGTGCCACTGCAAAGACCTGAAGCTTTTGTCAGCTCTCTATCTTGGCAGCCCCGGGAGAACAGATAGGAAAGACTCACCAACACCGACAGTTGCCCCGGTGATACACTGTGTTGTCGAGATCTAGCAGGCGAATTAGTACTGGGAGAACAGTATCGTGTAGTATAACACTCACTGGCAAGGCAAGACGTGTAGCGATGACAACAGTCAATGCAGCACCGAGTTCCATGGAGAAGCCTCGAGAAGGCGAATGGAGGGTCAGTCGGTTGCCTAATTGTCGCATCATGTTGTATCCATAGGTGAAAAGACCAATTGATATCGCAGCACCTCCATAGGCTAGAATCCAAATAGGCACTTCACTTCTGGAGCTGACCTCATTGTTCTGCCAAATACCAAAGATGGCGGAGAGCGGACCAACTGCATTGGAGACGTCGTTTGCACCGTGTCCAAAACTAGCCACTGCGGCAGTCAAGCTAAATCGGAAAATGTGAGCGATGATCCTGCAGTCTTCGTGAGGGATATGGAGTGGACTTACACTTGAAGGAAGGAGTACAAATGCTCCGTCTTGTTGTCGTAATGAGGCACATGAACGTGAACCTTTGAAAGATCCTTTGCCAGGAAGCTTGCTGCAAATCCCTTGGGCTTGACGGTGGCCGATTGTTCCTCGACAATATCTCGGTTAACACCACGGAAGAAGTAGTAGTGGGCGCGAGCCAGGAATCCCTTCTTCGTCTTCCATGGATACTCTTGAGACTTCAGCTTGGCCTTTTCTTCCATGGTGAGGTTGGCCTTGCTCTCGTGTCTCTCTTCGACGGAGCTTGCGGAGGCACCAGAATCGGTGGAAGGGATTTCGTGCTTCACTTCCCGGTTCAGCTCGACATTACCCACAGCTGCAGATGGGGCGTCACCAGTGGGTACGACGGCTTCGGGGGTGCCGTAATTATGGCCACGGTAGTAGTCCTGGATCACGCTGCCAGCATGACCTTCGGGAATTGGTGGAACAGGGCCACGGCGCCAGAGCAAAGGCCTGTATCCCAGCGATGTTAGAATGCTGTCACGGAATGGACCAGCGACACAACAGTTTTTGATGGGTCACATACCCTTTGACGATCTCCCATGATTTCAAAGTCCAATCCTCCATAACCAGGCGGCGGTAGAGGAATGGAAGCAGGAAGATGGCATACAGAACTACAACACCGGCGGAGGCGCCAAAGATTGTTCCGACAGTAGGTCCAACACCCCAGTCGTCCAAGTCAAGAGAAGCGGCTGGACGCAATTAGCTGCTTGCCAACGGTACTGCAATGGCGACATCATACCTCCTTTCCACACGATGGACATGGTCAAAACGCCAGCAGTCACTGCAAAGTAGACGGGAATCATCCACAACCCATTGTGGAGGGGACGCTTTCGCTCCAGAACGGCATATTTGGTGATCAGGAAAATGATCGCCGCAAACGCTCCCGAGATTGCTGGAGCGATACCCCAAGCTGCAAAGACCTGAGAAACTCCCTTCCAGGTCCAGTTGATACCCCCGCCACCGAGAGTAGCGAAGCCTGTTCCGATGATCCCACCCACGATCGAATGTGTCGTCTATTGAGCAACATTTGTAAGTAACGTGGACTAAAATGATGAGTTAAAGTGAGAAAGGAGCCTTACGGAAACGGGAAGCCCAATCTATTACTCGATTAGCAAGAATTCAAAATGGAAAGGATTTGTCTGAAGCTAACCTTTGTCGCGAGAGTCAACCATCTGCAGAAAAATACAGGTGAGTCCGATGTGTCTTCAAAGAGCAAGGAATTTTGGAGCCTGGTTTGTCTTACAATGAGCTGCCAACCAAAGCACATAACATGCCCAACATCAGAACCGAAGGGTTTTGTTCGAAATCGTCGACCTTGATGATTCCATTCTTAATCGTTCCAGAAACACGGGCACCGGCGAGCACAGCGCCTCCGAACTCGCAGACTGCCGCAATACACATCGCCTGTATCATGGTCAAGGATCGAGAAGATACGGACGTCGCAAATGAGTTCGCGACATCGTTGGCTCCGATATTCCAGGCATCGAGAAAAGAAAAAAGCATACCAAAGGCGAAAATGTAGTCATATTGTGGAAGAGCCGCCATATTGAACGATATAGACGTTAAGCCGTTGAATAATATCTCGGTTTCACCGAATATGATGCCAGGAAGAAGTATGCTCACAGAGAAGACTCTGTCCTCAAACCGTCCTGAAAACACCCATGCTTGCCATTTTATACCTCCCTCCCATTCATCACAATATCCACCCCACGGGTAAGCTTTTTGCAAAAAAAAAATGTGCCCTCACATGTTCGCACGTCTGCACGTTTGCATGAGTGGTAAGACGTCAAAGATCAGTACCAATAGTACCCGGGAGTATTGATCAGTTCCACTGTTTGAAAGTGACACCCAAGAGATCCAAGCCTTGCCAACCTGACCCCTCAGCCTTGGGATGTCGTAGTTTTAGAGATCTAGGAGGATCAGAGAGCAGTCGCCGAGATGAAGTACCCACGGACTTCGGAGAGCCAAGGTCGTCTCGACAACACGTGGGTGACTGAAAGCTCCCTAATTGATGATTGCTATCGCATGCCAATGGATTGTAATGCCTTGGCCGTAACTCTGTACCGCGTTTGGGTTTTGATCAATAGCGGCCGTGTTGTTGGACATTGAGGTTGCGGCGAATAGGTATATCCAAATGGAGGACGTGGGAAGATGGGAGAGCCTGATTGGATAGCCTGGGGGACCACGAATGATAGCCAAGAGCACCGGATCCACTTTTATGCGAACAGTGGGTGTAAAACTCCTGTAGAATTGCATTACGGGCCCGTGGAGCTTGAAGCTCAGCAGAAGGAAAGACACACGAAGAGACAATAACAATTGTACAAGTTTCTTTGTAGGTGGGACTGATTGGCAATGTACCGATAGTGACCCTGTCCATCCTGGAACGAGGCGATGCATGGCAGCCGATAGCACGAGGAACCTACTAAGTAGGTCAAAATCCGTATCCGGTATCTACTAGTCAGTGATCGAGCCACTCGATGTCAAAGCGCGTCGCGTCCGAGGAGTTGATTCCAAGCATCGATGCGATTGGACCGGAGCTCAAACGTAGATCGCCTTTCCCGAGCCGCCACATCGCTGAGTCTCACAAGTTTGCCTGTTGGGCTGATCATTGCAGTCCATGTACGGGAGCGAGAACAAGGGGGGCGAATCATGTTCCAGTGATCGCAAACTACTAGGTTTTGCTTCCCTCAAGTTCTCACGTCGCGGTCAATATGATGGTTGTCTCCTTGGATGGCAGGCGAAGACGATCTTCAATCATGATTCAGATTATCACGCGGCCTGTAAGTCTCGCAAGATGGAGACAGAGTCATCGATTCGGCTGATCTCTGCCATGAACCATGCTTCCCGTTGTCGCCACTGACTCAAGACTTTCAATTCAGCGGCGGATAGAATATCCTCTTCTATCCCTTGAACATCAGTCCTCTCAATTTTAGTCAAGGTTGTGGCGAGGCGGCATCGTTCGACCTCCAACCGCTGAAACAATCTTGACATGGTTTTGTAGAGCTTGTTGAGATACAGCTTTCGCACCCGCTCAGCATCATAGAACCAGAGGAATATTGTCCGATTTGGCTGTCGTTGCGGTTCTCTTGGAACTTCCTGCAGTTCCAAGAGACCTGCCGTATGTAAAGAGGCTAGGCTTTGTCGAAGTTCCTTGGCATTGAGCAGACCGAGCTCCTGCAGATTTTTTTCGTCCAATTTACCCTTGTCACTCAACATCCGCACAATCCTCAACTTCGGATCGCTGAAAGATAGGCCTTCAGCCATCAGGCGCATAAGCTCCAGGTTGCGGAGATAGGCATACAACGCTCGTTGGTGGACAAACCAAGTGTCTATGATGTGATTGTATTCGAAGAAAGAGAATGGTCCTTCAGCTAAGATTGAAAGATGACGAATGACATCCGACCGATCATGCGTGCCATTCAGAGAGGCATGGGCACCATTGATAGGTCTGTCCTCAGACCATCCATTTGTGCTTGGCTTCGTCTCACGAAGCGAGTGAGCGTCATCGGCGCGCATGTCTTCCACTATTTGATCGATGTCCAGGGCCTTTGGTTTTTCGGGACCATCATTCGGTGAAGGTGTGCTCACAGAGTTGAGGTGCAGATCAACCTGCATAGCTGCTGCTTTGGCGACCTTGGAAGTCAAGCGGCCAAATGTCTTTTCTGCCGCCTTCGCAAGCGATCGGTTACGCAAGGCATATGTCAAGCTAGAGTAGTTGGCACAAAGGATACTCTGGGGAAGAATCATTAGACGTGCAATATGAAACACTTGGTATGGAACCGTACCTGCTTGGAGCCTTGGTTCGCTGAAAGCTCCCGCAAGACGTTATCTGCAGAAACCTCGTCAATCAATCGAGCCTCAAGTTCTTCAAGGACTCTTGCATCTTGGTCGATTTGTGCCTTCTTTGTCTTGGCTGCAGAACCACCTCCGTCATTGTTGTTCATCTGGCGTTCAACTTCCTGCCATGCGTCAAAGGTCGACCGGAAATGTGCATCCCGGAGTTTGGTAATGTAGCCGTTGTCGATGAGATGTGCTATGCTGTTTTCAAAATTGGAATGGCTCATGTGACCCGAATCCAGGGTTGTCGAGTCGTGCCGATCACCATTCACTTGCTGTGAGTGAATCTCAATATGTCCCGGGCTGTCATCACCACAGGTTCGAGCTTTGAGTTCTCGTACAGTTGCGTAACCCAACACAGTCAATTCCCTCAATATATATGCAGCTGAAGGACCTCCAGTATCTCGAGCGAGTTCAATCAGACGACCTGATCTCAATAGCATATAGGCGTTCTTATGGTTGGCCTGATAGGTCGATAGACCATCCGGATTAGTATGGTGATAAATCAATCGGAGCTGAATTGAAGTAGCCAGTGCAGATTTTATTTGACGTAGAGGCAGTCGACATCTCTGGGCGATTTGTGGTGCAGAAAGGCGACCTCGTTGGGAGAGGATCTGGAAGATGCGCTGTATCGAGGTTTAGTATCAATTTGGAGTGGCCACGTCGTTGATACTGACGGCAAGCAAAGAACCATAGACATCCTGGATGATGTTACGGCATAGTTGGGAGTAGTCCTGGGTGGCATTGTTAATGGCGAGTCACCGAGGACCTCCTTCGACTCCCTACCTCCATCTTGAATGTGTTCACGTGACCATCAGTAGAGTGAATTGGCGGAAGAACTTTACTCAGTCGCTATGGGAATTAGACTTGACTCCTTGTCTGTGCTAGATGACGATTCGTTCCCACTTACCTGACAGATAATATCCAGGGTACAAGATGAGAAAGGACTGTTGTACACCGGCAGCCTGACCCTGAGTAAGAAGGAGTGTAGGTAGGTCTTTGAAATGGCTCAAGTTCGAGGTTGTGAAAAAAGTCATGGCAAGGCAGGAGCAACTCGAGTCTTGGCACGCTAGTGGTCGCCGTCCAATACGTGACTTCCGAATTGCAGCTTAGAGAAACAGCTCCTTCCTGCAGTGCGTCGACTTTCTGAAAGACACTGCACTGCACTGCACTGGCACGTCGACCACTTCCTCCCCACCCTCTGCACCACACCACGCCTACCCTCCTCGCGAATCGTCATGGCATCACCAGCTTCGCTCGGGTCAAGAGCCTTACGAGCTAGCCATCGCCTTTCCCAATCCGCCATCCAAACCAGAGGTCTCGCTGCAGCCGCATCTGGTAGCTTTCAATATGAGACCGGAGATGCCTCTGGTGTCAAATATGCCAGCAGAGACCTGCCCGGTGCCACAACCACCCTAACCGTCGTTGCCAAAGCTGGAACAAGATATCAGCCTTTGCCTGGATACTCCGATGCTCTGGAGAAATTTGCTTTCAAGGTGGGTAGTACGTGCTTGGATCGCAGGAAACAATCAAAAGCAGGAGCAGGATTACAGACAGGACTTTGTGCTGATCAGTTGCCAGTCAACCGCCAAACGATCAGCCTTGCGAATCACAAGAGAAGCCGAACTTCTTGGTGGTGAGCTTTCCGCTTATCATTCTCGCGAAAACCTCGTCCTGCGCGCCAGATTCCTCCGTGAAGACCTACCCTATTTCACCGAGCTGTTGGGTGAGGTTATCACCAAGACGAGATATACCAGTATGTTATGGACTAGGAACGAGCATCCCGAACCCCCCACTGACTATCCCAAGCACATGAATTGAATGAGGAGGTCGTCCACGTTATAAAACTCGCCCAGAAAGGTCTCCTTGCCAATCCTCTATCTTTAGCCATCAACTCAGTGCATGCGACCGCTTTCCATCGCGGACTTGGAGAGCCTCTGACTGCCACATCCTCTGTACCACTCAAGTATCTCGACGCCCCAGGAATAGCCGACTTCAGCGATTCCGCCTTCTCGAAATCCAACATTGCCGTGGTCGCCAATGGAGCAAGCTCTTCCGAGTTCTCCAAGTGGGTTGGAGAGTTCTTCACCGACGTCAAGGAATCCGGTTCTAAACTTTCTAGCCCTACCTCAAAGTACTTTGGCGGTGAGGAGAGAATTGCGCATGGGTCTGGAAACACAGTAATCCTCGCATTCCCCGGTTCCAGCTCATTCACATCTGGTTCATCATACAAGCCTGAGATCTCGGTACTTGCAGCACTCCTGGGTGGCAAATCCAGCATCAAATGGTCCCCCGGTTTCTCATTACTGTCCAAGGCTGCTGCTCCATATCAATTTGCTCACGTATCAACTCAACATGCTCCCTATTCTGACGCCGGCCTCTTATACATCACCATTACTGGAAATGCTTCCCACGTTGGTAAGGCCAGCAAGAGTGTGGTCGACACTCTCAAAAAAGTCGCAGCGGGCGATGTTGCTGAGGAAGATATCAAGAAAGCTGTGGCCCAAGCGAAGTTCCAGGCCCTTGAAGCGGGTCAACAAATTGACACTGGTCTGGAGGCTACCGGATCCGGTTTGATCTCTGGTGGAAAAGCATTCCAAAGTGACGAAATTGCCACTTCGATTGAAAAAGTATCAACAGACAAGATCAAGGCTGTAGGTCCCCCCCGTTTGCGCTTCTGGTGAAAACATTCCCTTTGCTGACTCATTCTACTCAGGCTGCCAAATCACTCCTGGAAAGCAAGGCATCGGTCTCGACAGTGGGTGATCTGTTCGCCCTGCCTTGGGCGGAAGACCTTGGATTGAAGGTTTAAGCCTGAATTTCGATTTTGGAAGGAGTAACAAGAACAGTAGGAGAGGCGGCCAAACGATTGCAGAGTGGTCTCCGACATGTGAGGTGTAAAACTTGTACATACTTAAGGCGGGACCCAAGAAAGATTCACCAAATTACCAATAAACATCGTCATCACTTCTATTATTCTTACCAGAATACCGCAACTACAGAATTTTCTGAAAGGGCCGTAGCCATCCTGTTGAACACAACAGCAAGACAATCGCGAGCTAGCTGAAGAGCTGGAAGCAAATGTTGCGCAATAAGTTTACAACGTCGACTCACTTTATCACAAGACACACTGGGACCGACGCTTGGTGCCAACGATAGTACCTACCCCGAGAGGTCTAATTCACCGTACAGAGATACCTAAGTAGGTCAACTCGGACATCGATTGCATGAATGAAACGTAGCGAAGTCAGAAGATTGAAGTACGGAGTCAGATCTGATCGACAAACAAGTCTTTGATTCGAATGTAGCTGTAGACCCGTGACTGAATGAGCATGATTTGATCAAGGCATAAATTAGTGCTCCTTTTCTCCTTTCCGTTCAACATGTCTAGCAGGAACAACCAACGACGAACATCAGAAGACTCGAACATGCCTGTCTACCACAAACTTCCAGAGGCCATCGACTATGATTATCCAGATGCCAACCCGTACCCACGACGTGGCAGGTCGGCAGCCCCAGATTTTGATAGAGACCGGCGCGAGGCTCAAGTACGATATGATTTTCACCAAAATCCAGTCTACCGCCCGGGGAACGACAATTTCGACCCTCTTCCACATGAGCATGCAGGGCGACCTCGCTACGTTCAAGACCCTAATGAACCAATTCGAGGTTGTTCCCGAGGTCGTGGGCAGAGGGTGCCGCGACAAAAGGCCGACTACCAGAAGTACCGCGGAGAAGGTAGATCTCTATCTCGAGTTGACCAGGCCCAAGATTATTCTAGAGAACCTCGATTCGTCCCGGATCTTGATGAATCACCTCGAGCTCGTCAACACTATCGCGAAGATACACGTCCACCGCAGCATCCCCGTGGAGAAGTCCTACATGGACGGGCACTAAGCCATCAGCTTCATCAAGATGACGGCTCAAGAGAACGCGACGAAAAGTGGGGAAGGTTTAGGAATCGCGAAGGTCCTCATTACATAAAGGGCCAGCACCCGGAAGGAACACGGGGGCGGGAGGACATTTGGCCGCTGGAAAATGACCGTAAAGGAGTGCATCGTGGAAGGGCATCAAGCCAGCAGCCTCGTCATGGTGTTGATTCGAGAGAACGAGATCCATACTCTCAAGGCGTAACGGATTATGACGATCAAGATCCAAGTTTCCATGGAGACAAACATCTTGAAAAATCAAGTCATGAATTCCCACGGGTAGAAGAGGCCTGGCTCCCTCGATCACAAAGTCATTGTGGATCAAGGCAACCAATCCTGCGGAACGTCGAACACGAAGCCCAGCTGGAACAAGATCAAGACGGTTTCCTGGGTGTTCCGGAGATTCGACCCCGTCGAGAACGAAGCCTCAGTGAACAACGGGAGGCTCCAGAGTTTGGTGATCTCCGGTCCCTTCGCCGAGCAAGAAGCCTCAGTGGGACAAGGCACCCAGTTGCGGGTCGGGGACACGCTCTCGACGACATCGGCCGCTGTTATCCAAATCGTCAAGAACTGATCACATTCGAAATCAATAATCGCTGCCAGGACCATCAAGTGTATGTCCTTGAGGCTCTTCCACCAAGTTCCTACGATTCTGCATGGCTAGGATCTGCGAAGCGACATCGCAAAAGCCAGGCGCAGCTTGTTTGGCATCCGAAAACCGCCAGGTTCACGCGGAAGCGAGAGACACAGCGAGATATGATCAATAAAGCCTTACGCGCCATCTTATCATGAGATCTGCCAATCACGCTCCTGGTTCAATGATTCCGGCAATTTTTGGTCGAGAGTTAGGGTAGGGTGATATTGGTGGTTAGAGAAAGGTCGCATGATAATTTCAGGTATAGGCTTGATTTTTGTGTCAGTGCTTGAAGGGCGGTATTGCTGCACTTTGCGTTGGTGGCGAGAATGGGTTGTATGATATGTTGAGACTATAGCTCAGTCCACATATTTGCAGCAACGGAGAAACCACGTCCAATGAAATGCTTGGAGAATCCTCTTGTCATGTTCTTCGCAAGAACTTATTACACACCGACATCGAGTTGGAGCGACCCAGTAAACAATGCAGTATCAGTGAAATCGGCGAAAATCTCTGGGAACAGTTCCTCGATCGATGACTGGCCATGCTGTGCTAGAAAATCATCCTCAGATAATTGATCTCCCATCATGCTATCGTGTAAGTAACCTTGATTTCCCATATGGTCATGTCGCAGGACTGTAGGAGGTATGCTTGGCGTCCTCAAGAGGGGGGTCTGCGGTAAGGAATCCTCGATCCGCTTGAGGACTGATTCACTCTGTGATAAGGCAGTCTCTGCCAAGTCCCATTTCTCCTCCTCGTGAAATCGTCTGAGACAGTCGACTAAGGTACGGGCACTGGTCATGCACTGCGCTCGGACATTCGAGTAGCTCGTTTGTAGTGCACACCGCAGTAGTAATGTAACTGCAGAAGTGAAATGATGTGCATTGTATGGTAACCAAAAGCCCAACAAATCTTGTTTGTGTAAAGACGTGACAAATCGAACAATATCGTCGGCCGCAGCCTGGCAGCCTAGAAGCCAGGAAGAGGCCGGATCGCTTTCTCTTTGACTGATCTCGTGCCAAGCGATTCGACGAAGCAGCATTCGAACGGATAAATACGATAGCTGCAAATTGACCAGACCAGGTACGGGTGGCCTGCTATGGAATTCATTCAGATTCAACCAACTAGGACGACTCTCCATCCACCGGTTAAGTTCAATTTCGGATCTTGAGGTTTGTTCGGCGGCAATGCTGTCATTACCAGAACGAATATGGTAGATGAGTGGCAGAACGTCACCAACGATTTCTGTAAGGCGACACAATTGGATGTAGACTTCTGCTGCTCGAGTGTGTCTGCTTGAGCCTGCTCTTCCCAGTGTGAGTAGATCCACGGTTGGGAATGGAACATCATAGTGGCCTTTTGAGATGTATGGTGGAGTGCCTTGGGCGAAATTGAACCAGCGATCCTGAATTACGACTCCCCACCAAGCCTTCCAACGAATTCGCTTCTCCATGTCACTCATCTTCCACTCGCTGCAGTCGTGGTTCAGCCCTATCGAGTGCGACAGGGCAACGGCACGAGCAACATTAGCAACATTGTTGACCAGACATCGGGATGGCCGCCCAGCGAGATTTATGCAGATGGCGATGATGGTGGAAATGTCACTCTTCTGCATGTCGGCAGTATTTGCGGCAACAGCGACCTGCCACGCAGCGTCTTGATCTGGTCTAGCGTGGTTCGCTAAAGCCGGCGAAACGTCCCAGTAGAAGAGAGCTTGACTGATGAGATTGACGTAGAAAGTCTGAGGTAGGGAGTTCCTGTCCTTGATACGGGACATGACGCAGTCTTCTTCTGTGACGGGATAACATGGATGCGCATGATCATAATAGTTGGTCAGTAGTTTCTCGAGGAAAGGTTCGACCTGTTCCAGGAGTTTCGCTGGTAAGTTCGTAGAGCAATTGCATTCCGTGGGACTTGGTCTTCTAGGAGGAACTGGAACATGATAGATTGGTTTACTAGACTCGCGGCGTCCAAGGTTCGGTTGGATGGGAACATGATGGGAATGCCCATTCACCTGGGGAAGGTATTGGTCTAAAATCTGTGTATCTCGAGCAATGACGGGCCCAACGATATGGGAATACGTCTCAGCAGCCTTGTCGTCCGTAAGAAGGGATCGATGGACAAAACCTATTCTGGGAGTGACGCGGTCGTCCTTTTTGGCAGTAGCTGAGGAACAAGGCACACCATGCATTCGACAAAGCAGACAAGCCTGGCCTGGGACTTCAATTGTACATCTTGAACGACGTTTGTGACAACGAGCACAAGCGGGGTATTTGTGTGATCGATAGGGACGCGCCGTCTTCATGATCTTGATAGACTCCCAAGTTGGGTTTGGTTTGGTATTGCCCGAGCCTCCAAGGGTAGATGAATGAGTAGACGACACAGGACTCTCAGTGCGAGTGGGAGGAGTGGGAGTGGTAGGACTCGTGGAAACCTGAGTCGGTGTGGTGGAGCAAAGACTCCTGGGTGGTAGTTCCTGCTTGACAAGCATCTTGCCACGTGACTTACCACCGGGTGACTCATCACCTGCCTTGGCCGTATCACATGACCAGGATTTTGCTATGTTGAATTTGAGATTATCTCATTCCCAGTGCATGAAATTTCAATCAATCAATCCTTCAGTCAGGGGCGTCGGTGTGCAGTATTATAAATTCACAGTGCCCGCTGTGATGTCCAGACTAAAGAGTATCCTTCGCCCCAGATAAGGGCTTACCATCCCTCCAACGCGGCTGATCGAGTTCTACCTATGTTGGCTCGCTAATGTAGCTGAAATCAAGTCCCTGTCGAGCCATTCTCTGCTGGACTCAACCCTCCATTTTCTAGATATGCAATGCAATCCTCTCGATGGGCTGGGCGCATGAATTATCGAATCAAAGGTATCATTTCGCCGACGAACTCTGCAGCAGCTCCAATCAGAGAGTCATTTCCCCGCTCCAGCTCCCCCTCTCAATAAGGGTCTGATGTGTACCGGACCATAGGGAAGTCATGTTTCCCGTCGGTGGAACTAGAGCCCGTCTCCCTTCCCTATCTATATTACACACTGTTGGGTCTTTGCTGGGACGCAGTATGACTGTATGGCCTGCGAACCAGTCAGTAAGCCTAAAATAGCATCCATCCTTGAGCATATATCGAAACAGGATCACCACCATGGCGCCAATGATTCAGGACGATCCCGCACCGACCCCATCTTCGGATCACAAATCTTCCGAGGCACCACCGACTCTATACCAGAATGTAAACGAGGATAGCCTTCGAGTGGGTGCCAAGGCATGCTTGGTCAACTATGGTACCAAGTTCGAGGAAGACATCGTGACTGGTAGCAAGGGTCTATACGTCTACACAGCCAAAGGCCATAGAGTGCTTGACTGGACATCAGGACAAATGTCTTGTCTGATTGGACATGGACATGAGGAGATTGTGGCAACCATTCAAGATCATGCAGCGAATCTCGACCACCTGTTCTCGGGCATGATATCGCCGCCTGTGGTCCACCTTGCACAACGCCTGACTTCATCCTTGCCTGTTGGCCTCGACAAAGCCTTCTTCCTATCCACCGGGGGTGAATCCAACGAGGCAGCGATCAAAATGGCCAAGGTGTATACAGGCAAGTTTGAGATTGTCGGTCTCGGTGCATCTTGGCACGGCGTCACCGCTCAGGCGTTAGGGACGCAGTATCACTTTGGGCGTAAAGGTCAAGGTCCGCTGATGCCAGGCATGCATATGCTACCGCCTCCCAATGGGTATCGTTCAATCTTCCGGAATCCCGACGGTTCATATGATTGGGAAACTGAATTGAACTACGGTTGGGAGCTGATAGATCGCGCATCATGTGGCTCTCTTGCGGCGTGCATTGTGGAATGCATTCAATCTTCGGCTGGTATGCACGTCCTTCCTCCTGGATATCTCAAGGCTCTCAAGAAGCATTGTGAAAGGCGTGGTATGCTTTTGATTGTCGACGAAGCACAGACTGGGATTGGCCGTTGTGGTGATCTTTTCGCAATCAACCATGAAGATGTTGTGCCCGATATCTTGACCTTGAGCAAAACACTTGGAAACGGGATTCCATTGAGCGCAGTGGTCACAAGCCATGAAATTGAACGGCTGTGCGCCGAGAGAGACTTTTGTTTCTACACCACCCATGTTAACGATCCGCTACCGGCGGCGGTAGGAGACAAAGTCCTGGAGATTGTCCTTCGAGATGACCTCGTGGCCAATTCGCGTGCCGTGGGCGCCCATTTACACACGGGGCTTCTAAGACTTCAGTCGCGATATGGGTGTGTCGGGGATGTGCGCGGCCGAGGCCTCATGTGTGGATTGGAGATAGTGGGTGATCGACAGAACAAGACGCCCGACCTCGATCTCGCACAGATGCTATCGAAGAAGATGTACTCTTTGGGGCTGTGGGCAAATCTGAGTAGTCATGCGAGCTTTGGTGGTGTCTTTCGAATTGCGCCGCCCATAGTCATCACCAAAGCGCAGGTCGACCAAGGGCTTGAGATCATGGAGCGTGCATTTGCGGAGACGCCGGGTAGCCAGGCTCTTTACTAGCTCCCTAGGCAAGTCTGCGCCATACAACACTTTTAGTTTCATTCACGAGTACCATGATTCTGGGAGGCAGAATGGTGGGCTTAATTTGTTAGACAAGCGTATTTGAACGAACGGCCGAAGACTGGTGGAAGACGGGAGAGCCAGAGACTTCGCCTCCTGTAATGATTTCATATTTGTTAGTTGATGGCCCTCCAGGCCTGACCCCGAGGCAATACTCAATACTCTACTCTTCGTGCTCAGCCACATTCCAAGCTTGATGACGTTGCCCATCTGCTTTACTCTCTGAACCCCACCAACCAGAATCGATATCTCCTATCCCATCGTGCCACCCCGCACCTATTCTGTCTGTACTCGTCCATAACTACCCAATTTGATCTCTCCTCTTCGGCCATCGATCGAGTTGGATAAGACTGTCTCCTAGCTGCCGTCGCGCACTTCCATCTCTTATCTTCCTCGTCCTCATCATCAACGATCCCTCAGAAATCCTACCAACACCCTTCCCACACCTCACGCCGTCAACTGATGTCTGATTTTCTACCGCCGACAACCCCACCTCCTCCGAAAGTCCCAGAAGGCTGGAAGGTTAGTTACCAAATCATTCGTTGACATCTCACTGATACAGTCTTCTGCAGGCAGTATGGAATGACCAGTACAAAGAATGGTATGCCCCAGAGTCTCGCGCGTCCTAACACTCGATCTTGGGCTGACGCTCTGCTGTCCACAGGTTCTATGTGAATCTCCACACCAAACAGTCGACATGGGACAAACCAACAGAACCCGCGCCACAACCCGGACATGACGCTGCCCCGGCAGCCCCGCCACCTTCCTATTCCGCCGGCACCAACGATCCGGTAGTCGGCGACGTCAAAAGGCCACTTGAATCTAACAACCCCTACAGCTCATCGTCTACACAGCCCGGTGGCTCCCACGAGACCGACGAGCAAGTCGCCCGCCGCCTACAGCAGGAAGAAGAACAACGGAATCGCGGCGCAAGTGATGGCTACTACCAAAACTCGTCTACACCACAGCCACCCGGGATCCAAGGCGGGTATCCTGGTGCCCCTCAACCCATGAGTCCCGACCGCGGCTCCTCAGGAGGCAAGAAAGGATTTCTCGGGAAGCTGCTGGGCAAGGCCAGTGGCGGTGGTTCGTCTGGCTACGGTCAGCAGGGAGGTTACCCCCAACAACAGCAATACGGTGGATATCCCCAACAACAGCAGTACGGTGGATATCCCCAACAGCAACAGTACGGCGGCGGCTATCCTCAGTATGGGCAAGGTCCCGGATATGGATACGGACAGCCAGGTCCAGGCTATGGTGGTGGGGGATACGGCGGTGGCTATGGTCGACCTCCACCACGCAAAGGCGGCATGGGTGCAGGTGGTGCCGCCGCTCTCGGTGTGGGTGGTGGTCTGCTAGGCGGTATGCTCATTGCTGATGCTGTCAATGATGGCCAACAAGATGCCTACCAGGATGGCTACGAAGATGGTGGTGGCGGTGATGACTTTGGAGGCGGAGATTTCTAGAAATCTCAGCCAAGCATTGGAGGAGGGCCCTCGTCGCAATGGGGAGGCATTTGCGTGTGGCGATGGGTAGGCCACCAGAAGCGAATCGGTACATACGGCCTGTGCACTTGTATTAGATATTATGGACACATTTCCGACACATGATTCTGATTCTCACAACCCGAATGCCTCACTCAGGAATGGGAACAGGGAACAATAGAAATCAATGAACATTTTATTCCGGCCGTCCAGGAATTGACGGTCGGGACACTTCTATGGTCCCTCCTCGAATGCCATACTCGACAGATGACCATGAGCTGGACTTGTTGTTGGTTGTTGAACAGTTACTTCGTGATCAGAGCTCTTGCCTCCCTTTCGCTGATACCCATCACACTGACCAGATAGGTGATGCTAATCGTCTCCGCCAGCTGTTTGCGCACCAGTTCAAACCGTTCGAAACACCCTGCCTTTACTATCGCTCGTCTCTTAGGATCCACCGTCTTGACACGGATCTTGAACACCCCGCTAACGGGCCGATGGTCGCTGGTGTGCACCTCGTGCCGTCGATACTCGAGCTGCTTCACCCGCCCTGCTCCGCGATACAGCAGCCGGTCGCACCATGCTGGCGCACGTTTCTTCTCGCTGGAATCATAGTTGTCGCTCCCCACGTCGTATTTGTACGTCGGCGCGAACGTGATGGGTAATTCGGTGAACGGGCCCAATCGGAATCCGGATACCCTGCGCCGCGACACCATGATTTGGTCGCGCTCAAGCAGCTTTGACAGCTCGCCTCGCTTGACCATCGAAATCACCGTGTCGCGTGGTATCGCATCGATCCGGTAGTTCAGGTCTCCATTGAGTATGCAGATTTCATGGTCGAGAATCTGCGTGCCATCTCCACCACCAATGTACAGGGAGCTACGCTCGTCTGCGTCGGGCTGAGCCGAGAGTGCCTCAGCCTCCAGAATAGATGCGACGTCGTTGTTTCGATGCGATGTTTGAGTCTGCCCGGCTGCGAGATGGCAATTGATAAAGCAGATTGAGCTGTCATCTAGGACAAAGCGTGTGACCAGAGCACCCTTGTTGCCATAATGCCCTTTCAATCCAAGCTTGACATTGGCTCCCTCGAGACTTCGGACGTTTGGTCGCTCTTCCTGCCGGACCAGTACACATTGGAAGAGTCCAATCATGCTTGACGTGTGCAGTTCCGAATACGAGTATTGTTTGCAGTAGCGACTGACCATCTTGATTAGATAATCCCGCCATTCTCGATAGACTCGGCTTTGGTGCGCCTCTGTCTTAACATCCTTCTTCTTCCCAAATCCGAGGATGCTTTTTGCTGTCACAGTACGATCTTCCAAGTCGACGACTTCTTGAAAGCCAAAAGCCAGGATCTCTGGAGGTTCTTCTGCGTGGATCGCGTCGGCGATGAAATCGTTCCGAATATCATATGGCGTGGAGGCCCCGACATTCCACGTGATGACAGCCGCCCGAAGCTCACGAAACGTGCAATATTCGACATCACGTTCTTGCATCTCGCTTTCAATCCAGTCCTCCTCAAGAGATGCGTCCCAAAATCGCACAAAATTGTCATGGCCTATAGTGACAACCTGAAGCTGCTGTAAAGCCCAAACACTGCTGGAGTCGAGAAGAACTCCAGTTGCTGGTCCAATGTGCGCACTCCAATCTTTCTTGACCTTCCAGGGGGATGAGATGGTATCATAGACATAGATCTTGCCGGTTTTGAAGGCCGCCCACAGTGCCCCACCCACAAAAGTCATGCTGTTGATCTTGTAGTCACTTGCTTTGACATTTCCAACACAACTGAAATCTTTGGTGGAGTATATCGTCACCCTGCCGTCAATGTGGCCAAAGTAAGCCCTTCCTCCACCTTCTGGTGTGTGTGTTCCACATGTGATATCGCCAGTTCCATGCTGAGACAGCGGTTTGGTTAGTGGTGCAGGGTTGCTGTCGCTCCCCGATTGGTAAACCCGGATCTCCTTATTCGTAGCAATCCAAAGCCTACCATCAATCGCCATAGAGAACGAGTGCCCTTTGGGAATCTTCAGCGAAATGTGGCTATACTTGAGGCTAGGCACTCCAGTCTCGTCCGCTTTCCATACGAACCACTTTCCATCATCGTCCAATGTCCAGATGTCTCTTTGATTCCGGACAATCCGGACGATCTCTCTCCGATTATGTGAGGAATTTGTAGTTATGACCGAGTGTGTCTCGACATCCACTTCCATAATCTCACCAATGTTGGTACCCAGCCACAGCCTTCTTCCCTCACCCATCAGATCGATCGCGGGCTTAAAGACCACCGCCGTTACTTTTACTGTTTCGCCGTGATTTAAGCTCATGATCTGTTCGCCAGAGGACATATCAAAGACGCGAGTCACATAGCCGGTCGTACACAAATATTTGCCGCAGACTTCGGCGATACGTGACTCGGATTTGGTCGCGATTTCCCAGACTCCCCGTTTGCGAGTCGGAGGGCGACGGTTCGTATTTGTGGCGTCTGGATACTCAGACATGATAGTCGAAGGCTCTTCGAGACCATCCTCGGCATCATCTGAATCGCCCATTTGGGTCCTAGCACTAGCGACAGGGCGCTGGATATGATCTCCGTTAAAGTTGTGAGTGCGGGCCGGCGTGGACTTGGGTGAGTCAACATCATCAACACTTCCACGCTTGGGCGGAGGCGGGAACGTGGTGTCTAATGGAGTCGTCGAGGCACGGGCTATTGGCTTTTTACTCCGGTCCACTGGGCCCGCGGCTGGTGGAGGTGGCACAGTGCGAATTGTGTTTTTGGACTCGTTGGAGGGACGCGGCGGAGGATCCATGCGCCGTGGAGGAAGACCAGGCCGCGGTTCCTCATCGATAGGGAGGATTTCTTGACCACGAAGCGTCCCAAAGCCAAGCATGCGAGCGTCGCGCGGTGGCAGTGCCCGGGCAGGTGGTTGAGGAGACATTGCGGGAGGCGGAGAAGGAGCATGTCTTATCGACTCGGAGACGTGGCGAGGTGTCGCCCTCGCGGGAGACAATCCCATATCTCGAGGATCTCTGGTTGGTTTCTCCGACACCGTGTTTGCTCTAGCGGGTAAGATGGTGGACTGGCTCGAGGGTTTTGTATCGGAACCGCCAAAGCCGAGGGTCCGAGCATCTCGACTTTCCAGCCCAAGCGGCTTGCTGGCGAACCCGAGGAAGCGTGCATCTTTGGGCCTGTCCACAGCTGGGTTGGCTGGAGGGGACATAACCAAAGGAGATGTTGTGCGGATGGGGCCTGGTGGGTGGTCTGAAGACCGGAGTATAGATGCCAGGGCCTGGGGTTCGGGACTTCGGGAGGGCGAGCTTTCGTCACTACTTGGGGGAGTGCTGAATGGCGACACTTTTGCGTCGAAAGAGGGTCGGCGGGCGTCCGGGTTCAGGCCGATGTGGGGGGGCATAGGAATGGCAGTTGGTTTGGTAGGGATTTTTGGCTTGTCTGCGCGATTGATGGGTGGAGGTAGTTTTGCGGCCGGTTTTGTAGCGTCAGCAGCGCCTGTAGCATCGGCAGTGGTCCTTTCCACAACCATGGAGGGATCTGATCGGTCGCCGCTGGGGGCACGTGGAGTGGGAGGTCTGCTGGAGGCTCTGCTGGAGTGCTGTGAGATGAGTTCACGGACTTTGGCAAAGGGGGTGTCGTCTACGCGCTCAGGAGATCGAGAAGCACTCCGGTCGAAAAAGGTACGAGGAGGCGATCGTGGGGACTCGACCTTGACCGCGGGGGTTAACTGCGGAGATGAATGTAGAAGCATGGACATGGGTCTCTTGTGGCCAGGCTTAGGAGGAGACTCGGTGCCCTTTGTGGGAGTTCTGAGGCCTCCATGCTGTGATTGAGTAACCCCAGCCCATGGAGATAGTGGTCTTGGAAGATCAAAGGAAGCCCGCAGAGTCGGCAGCGGAGAGGAGATATCGACCGGGCGCAGGACATGGGGAGAGGATGGAATGCTTCCTCGATCGTCCAATCTAGATTGGGATTGGGATGGGGTTACCTTGAGTCCCTCGAAATGAGATCTCAAGGAGGAAACGGGTTTGAAGGAAGCGGCATCAGTGTCCTTGTCCATGTTTTGTGCCATTTGGTGTCTTCATCGTCATGCATACGGAGGGGACGCAAGGAAGCGGGCAACGAGGGACGGGATATGGAAGTGTTTGATGTTAAAGAGCGTGGTGCATGCCGAGTTCTTCGAGCGCCTGGCAAAAGAGGAGCGAATATGGTGTAGATTTGGGGCGGGTCGTTGGAGTTTCCTCCACTGTAGTACGAGTACTGTCCGAAGGGGGTGCGGCGGGATGCAGTGAGACGAGGGACGAGAGGCTCGCAGACTGAAGGAGGCTGTGCCCAGACCGGATCAGCAGCGCAGGATGTGAGGGCGGATCAAGCAGACCAGCATCGGCAAAAGCAGCAGTAACGAGAACATGAACAGGGACAAGGTATAATCAAGGCGACACAGTATTAAAATGGTCACAATTAAATGGCAGGTGATGGGTGGTGAGGATCCAAGTTGACTCTGGAATTTGAAGTCGAAGTGGGAGTGGAATTCTGGCGCTGGTGCCGGTGAGCCTGAGGTGAGCGCGGGCACTCCGTTGACGCGTGTGCCCCTGGCCCCTCCCCTGTCAGTGGTGTCCTTACCTGCAGTACCTTGGTACTCGTAGTAGACTGCAATCAAAGAAGGACTTGACACTCCTACACTGGCACTCTTTAAACGCATGGAACAATATCATAGTAGTACATATACCGGCATATTAAGTCTGTCGATCAAACCATCAAATTTCCTTGTCACGTCATATTCTAAGCATACCCATGTGGTCATCACCAGTTTGGACGTGACCCCTGCAATCGGTTGATCAAGTGTCGCGAGTAGCTAGCCTCTTCTTTGGAATATGAAGTCAGACATCATGTCTAGGAGCGTGCGCCTTAATCATCTTACCTCCTCAATACCTCGTACGCCTCCTGCGTTTGCCCTTCATGACCCAAATTCACATCGCCCACCAAGATCCATATCACTGCGGCCATTGACACGAATGACAGATGCTGCAAAACCTGGCGTCCCGGGGCCACGCCTCAAGAAGCGGCCATGCTTTTATTCCATAATACATTTGGCGCACGACGGGCTTCACTTGCCTTGCTCTGGCAGATATGCTCCTCCAGCGAGAACAAGGTTCATGTTCGTGAACTGTGTCAGATAAACAGGGCTCTGCTTTGTCAAGAACGCCGAGATCTGGTCGCTAGTAACAACGGCGTCCTTTCCGCGCTTTTTGAGATGCGCACCTGCAACATTCCCTGCCGTCGTCCCCGATGTACTTGTTGCGCCACTGGATATGTTCAACCCAGCGCCTGTTGACGCCGCAACCCCAGCCCCACCAGGCCCCACTGCGTTGCCCACGCTGCCCTCGACTTTCCCTCCCGTCGTACCACCACTGCCGTCTGCCTTCGATGCCGGTGTAGCTGATCTCTTCGCGGGACCAGTCACGTCCCAGGACCGTACCGTTCCATCGGCTCCGCCAGACACAAGGACTGTAGACTCAGCACTCCAGCTAAGCGACCAGACTCCGCCTTTGGCGTGCCCACGCATCTTCTTCAGTAGCCGACCAGGCCCCAGATCCCAGAGTAGAATCACCCCGGTATCGTCGGCCGATGCAAGAATCTTTCCATTTCGGGAGCATGCCAATGCAGTCACCATAGAAATGTGGCCAGTGAACATTCGAACAGGATTGCCATTGTTGAGAGCCCACATGCGGACTGTCTTGTCTGAGGACGCGGTGAAGACATAGCTCGAGTTGGGATGCCAAGCAACAACATCAACGTCGTCGTCGTGCCCGGCAAGGATGCGAACTTGGCGAATGTGATCGGTTTGCCAGATCCGCCCAGTCTTGTCGTGGCCAGCACTGGCAAAATAGTGGCCATAAGGTCCCCATGAGATGGACCAGACTGGCCCAACATGACCCTTGTAGACCACCATGCATTGGAAGGTATCCAAGTACCAAAGTCGGATGCTGGAATCCTGCGAGCATGAGAGAAGCCACTTGGTATCCGTCTCCCCAATGTCACCACTTGGTTTCACTGTTGACGGGGCAAAGGCAACGCTGTAGACCGGCCCTGCATGACCAATGAGACGCTGCGAATTGGATGACTGGCCATTGACCGAGCTGCCTAGACTCGAGCCATCCAAGGTCCAGATTCGAATATACGACTCTTGAAATCCCGCCGCACAAAGTTTCTGGTCGCCAGAAAAGTCGAGGCAGATCATGCTGTCATGGGTGTTGTGGAATGTGTACATGACCACGCTGAGGCCAGGTCCAATACCGCCAGTGCGGGATTCCACCTTCAGTCGATCTCGATTCTCACGTATTTTTTGTACTTCCATGGCGACATCGCGGGCGGTCGATGGTGGAAATGGTATCTCTGCTCGATTGGGTCCTTCATCTTCGTCCTCTTGTTTGATGTTGAGCATCTCATGCGTCTGCAATAAACTCGCCTGTCCGTCCTTGGGAGGAACACTCAAATCGAGCTCGCTGACCTCAGCACGCACGTCTTCTTCGGCTTCCTTTTCCATGGCGAGTTTGCCGAGCTTCAGTGTCGCAAGATTGTTTCCAACGTTGGGATCCGTAGACGAGACTGCGTTGCCGGGTCGATGCCCGGGGATTCCTTCATCTTCAGCTGGCATGTCTTGACCCTCAGCTCCTCGTGCGATGATGGCTGCGAAGCTGAATCGGTCATCTGCGCCTCGCTCAACTTGGCGAAGGTCAAGGTTCTTTTCCACGATATTGATCAAGAGCTTGAATCCGACCTCAGGCAGGCTTTCCAGAAATTGCATGAGATAGGTAAATGCCGGTGAACTGAGCGACAGTCGATACTTATTGTCACGATAGAGTTTCGCGATCTTGTCCTCGCTGTGTTCCGGTAGAGTAATATGCTCGATACTTCGTAGGTCGTACTCGTGCTCCTTTTTGAAATCTTCACTAAACTTTTGGAAGAATCGCGTTGCATCTTTGGGATAGAACTGCTTGACCAGGTCGAAATAGGAATAGACGAAAAAAGGCCATAAAACTCGTGCCACTTCGGGTTTGTAAATGTCAAGCGCATCATCGGTCCACGCCTTCAACCGACTAAACATCTCCTGGTAGCGGGGCGGACCTGAGGTTTGAGGCTGGATAGATGAGTCCCGGGGAACTTCTTGATTAGAAGACTCGGCTCGTAGCGTAGCTTCGGTGCGGTGATAGCCTTTCTTCGCAAGGTAATCGATTACCTATGTAACTGTCAGACATTATATCCCAACCATTCTTGCAAGATGGAGGACATGAGGGTACACCACTTCACCAGGGGCTGACTAGCTGCGTGTTGCGATGCGGTCTAACATGAAAAGTGGACGCCATTCATGTTGTGTTATGACATATCCGTCTGACAACAAGATGTACCGCAGCCAATCGTTCATGTGCAGCCTCTGGTCGCATGCATTTAACGAATGGAAGAGCCATAGACGCGAATTTCGGTGCAAACAGGGTTCGCACCTGGTCAAAACGGGTTCAACAGACGTAGCCAAGCCTTTGTCGAGAAACACATCTGTCTGAAAGCCGTGACCGAGGTACGAACTAAGAAGTGACAGGGAAATAAGGAACGCAACCAGAGATAACTCACAATTTGATTCAGATTCTGTTGTGACATGCTGCCTCCACTACCTGTGCCCCCAGCAGCTGTTGTCGTTGCCGATGCCCCAGACACGGATACACTAGCCACGCCATTGACCAGAGGTGCGGCGGTTGGTGTCGTCAAGGGGACATTTGGACCGATACTTGCGCTCCGAGGCGCTGGGCTCGGCGCGTTATGGCCCGACATATTGACTAGGTGTTCATGCAATAATGATCAGTCTCTTGAAGGCACAGGATTCTGCGCAGACGGTGCTCGAGTCAAGCATTGGATGAGATAACAGTGATCAGATCTAGGTTGACTTGTCCTTTCACATTATTTCTTGACTGGACATGAAGAAAATGAAGAGAAGCTCGTTGACTGACTTCGAAGGTCATCGCGGTCCCCAACTTGAAGCCTGAGTGATTCACGGCGAGTGCCAAGAGATATTGCGCTAGTTTTGTTTTTGTAGTAGTCTCTCGGCATACCTTCTATGAGTAAACATACACCAATTGTCCCCTGCAGTGCCCAAAACACTCTGTCTCCCAACACCGAACATCGACCTTGAGAACACAGCTTATTAAAATGATATGAAGACAAAATCTTGATACTACCATAGGCGAGGAGCCTTCAATCGCAGATGCTGCAGCATGCCCTTCTCAGGCCATAATATCGCTCAGGAGATCGATCGCCATGGAGGTTGATTCTCTCTATTCCTCGCCCACATCTCGACCCACGGCTCCTTTAATCAGTCCCGCCCAGCGCATTACCGAGTTGAACGAAATCGATCAATCAATTTCGACTCTGCTTTCAGCTGCTTCGGACGCAATTGGAGTGCTGTCAAACTCTCCTCCCTCGGGTGTTGCAAGAAACCCTCTCCACGACTCCACCACAGCCCGCTCTACGTTCACAGAGGCTGCTTCAACGTATTTCTCAACGCTTTCATCGATCCAAGTCCGACTTCGGCGCCAGGTCTATGCTTTAGAAGAAGCCCACTTGGTGAAACCTGGAGATGAGGCCGATGCAAGGAGAGGCAGGAAGTTTGCAGGGGATACTGGTGTCTCAAGAGTTGGAGGTGGCTCTCTTGATCCCAGCTGGTTGAATGCAAGGGTCAGCGATGATGTCGCCGAGGGCATGAAGCTGGAAATGCTGTCGCGAACGGTAGACTTCATCAAGCGGTCAGAACGAAATGCAGAGAGTCAAAGCGAATCAACCACTTCCAGGCTATCTCCGAGAGCGACCAAGGACCCCAACATCCACTAGAGAGCAAGAAATGGCCTAAGCTTCCCCTGACACGCACCCAACAAGTTGCACCAGACTCGGTGACTATACTCTCGCTGGCAAATCTTTGACTGTTTCTAAACTCAACCCAAGCCAGACGGTACCCACGTAATCTGGTGGGAGGCTGCGGATCGATGACTGGTCTGCCTAGACGCCACAGATCGTTGATGGCATGGAAGGAAAGTCACCTTTTGTGACGGTCAGGCGTAATCAAACCTACAGGCCAAGACGGATAGAGCCGAGAAGGACATCCAAGCACTGGCATAGCGACCCGCCCATACTGTCAGGAAAGATATCATGACGACCACCAGCTCTTCGACTCTGCCTTCGTTGGACATGCCATCAATGTTGGAAATCACTTGGACTCAGGAAGGCATCAGTGGGTTTCAGATAATGTGATCAGCGTGCCTGGCTTGATAGGCTCATAGGCTCGTACTAACTAAATATCAAGCCAAACAAATCTGACTTCGAGTCCAGCTCGGAGATAGAGACTGATGAATGGGAAGCCAGGTGCCCAGTTACTGGATAGGTTTTCGTGCTTGTTAGGTAAGGCCAACCAGGTGTATTATTCATAGACCAGGGGTGGTTAATATCCTTCTCCGCGATATTCATAAGACTACCTAAGTACTTCTGATGGATGAATCTGCCCACATTTCCATGATGTAGAAGTGCTAGTATTTAAATGCAGGGAAAGGTGTAATGCAGTCAGTAGAGCCTCGACTGGGGCGACTGCCTAAAATCCGTACCTATAAGTATCTAGTAGTAGGTATTAACACTAGCTACTAGTGGATTGAACTAGTCCATACATAGTATTGCTAGTCCTACTAGTAGTGCCGTGAATCGAACTAGTCTTGCTAGCTTCTTCGTGGCCAAGTCATATCAAGGTCGAGACTTGTTCTTTTGGTTTTGCCAGCAACCAGCAACTTGAATAACAGGAGGACTGATTGTCTGGAATACAGCGAACTTGAGCCTAGGAGTTATGTGATTCTTGATCTCTCTACGGCTGTTTCCTTCCCTTTTACTCTCTTGTTCAGGCGCAGAATTGTCACATCCCGAAGTGTTCTCATGGCCGCCACTCAGCAAGCCCAAGGACAACCTGAACCCCAGCAGATATTCGTTAGGGCAGATGAAGTGGACGCCGGCACTTCAATATTGACACCCAGCAAAGAATTGCCATTAAGCGCATTGACCCCGGCTGACCCTGATGGAGCCAACACTCAAATTCTCCCACCACTAACAAGGCCCGGTTTAAAACGAGAAGGCACAGGACCTGCACCACCGCCGCCGCCATCACAACCACCACCAGCTCCTCCCCCAAATGGTCCCGATGTCACCGATTCACTGAGCCTCCCGCAGCTCAGACAATTGGTTAGCCAGTTCCCTAAAGCGGAACAAAGGGCCTACGATTTTCACTACCAGGATGCCGAGGATTTTGAGACCGAGATTGATGAATGGTTCCACTACACTGAATTGGAGCAAGATAGAGATTACTTGCTTGCTTCACGCGATGCCTTTGAGCAGAAATTCAAGGCTTTCAGTGAACATCATGGTCTATCGGATGATAACGGCTGGCCTGTAGCCACTGACGATCAACGAGGTCAATTTACCACCCATCTCCTCGACGATTTGGCAAGCGAAGAGTATTCCATTCGTGTTGAAGCTCTTTCCTGTATCTACTATATATTGACTGGTGTCTGGAGCACTACATCAGGCTCGGAAGTCCAGCGAGGCGTCACCAAGGACAACGTCTCTGATGATCCCCCAGCCGAACGATTCAATGCCATGCAGGCTCTATGGATGCACAAAGGCGCCACTCTCCTCATCAAACCAGCCATGATACCGCAGCTATACCTGTGTCTTATCCGAGCCTCCACAGCCCCGTACTCAAATGCACATCAACAGTCCCCCGATGCCGAGCAAGCCACTGATGGAGCTTTTGATGAGAGTGGTTATCGGGAGCTCAGCCTGTGCCTCTCATGCTTCTACATACTGATCGAGTCTGCTCGAACTAGATCTGGCACTGCTGAGGGACAAGAAATCAGAGCATCCATCCTTTCCTTACAACCTAATTACCTAGCATTTCTTGTTAGCATGATTTCACGATTAAGATGGGATGAAACCTACAACATTCCGCTAATGCATGCATTACAGCTGTTCTGGAAGTCGATCCTACTCCTCTTTGGAGATATTGGAGAGCATCTTGAAAAGATCAAAAGCATTTTACAGCCTCGCGTCGATCCATTCTCGGCAGAGGCCTCCCACCCAGTACTGACTGCATCACCCTTGGACTATCACCTTTTTCGACAGGAAATTACCTCCAAGTATCCTGCATACAACCCTCCGCTCCCGCTCGTTCCACTTGAGTTGGAGCACAAGACAATGCTACCTCCACTATCCAATACGACAACACGTTTCGACTATACTTCGATGGGTGTTGCCGGGATGTCTTCGGGGGCTTCACGTGGCTCAATCCTCCATCAGCCAGTACACATAGCCACACCGGCACCATCACCTCCGCCGTCCCCCGTAGGTGCGGGCGGGAAGACAGGCAAGAAGCAGAATTATCAGACCAATCAGAACTTCCCCTTCCTCTACCCACCGCTGGACAGCTCCAGTAATGCAATTGGCGGGAAGGGCTCAACTGAGATCCAGGATCTGATGGTGGGCAAAAATTGGGAGGGCAGTGATGTCCCTCGCTCCATTATTGAAGCAGGCGAACTCTTTGCGAGCCGTATGAGGATGTCTCGAGCCATGCGTCAGCTTTGGAAAGAAAGAGATCTCTTCATGAAGTACGAGCGCGGTTGGCGTGGAGACCTGGCAGAGATGGTGAACACGAAGGACCAAGGAACCGAAAAGTCACGGCTTACCAACGAAGAAGTGGAACTCAATAGCCTCAACGATCCATCGTTGAGGTCTCGCATGGAAGCAGTTGAGCAATTTTTCTACCACGCCCTTCCTGATTTACAGTCACTTATCATCGTGATGATGAAAGTGATGTTGACCAATGTTCAAGATATTGCTGTCCGAAATGACGGTCTTCAAGACGTGACACAAGCTGGCGGAATGAATCGCACCAAATCGAATGCAAACATGGCTCAGTCATTGCCGGTCCCGCCAACACCTCCTCGGCCTGCGGACATCACACTGGAAGATCTGGACAATATACGCTCTCGAGAAATAAGCCAGAAGGCTGTGTCGGGGGCAATTTTCCTTCTTTTAAAATGGTTCAAAGTCTCCCATGTACTAAAGTTTGAGTATTTGAATCAACTCTTGTTGGATTCCAACTATGTTCAACTGACCTTGAAGTACTTTGCACATCAGAATCTGGAGGACTTGGTGCCGTTTAGATACGACCGCAACGATCTCAGTGTGTGGCACTACTGTCATGTCCATTCCGATCATCCGCCCTTGTCTCCAACTAGTCCTGATGAAAGATCTGAAAGCTCAGATGGCGAGGATGCGATTCCCCCTCCAATATCACGCGATCGGCCGTGCAGAGCGACGCATTCTGATGCACCGGCTACGACCAGCGCAGGGCAGCATGTCCAGGCCGACCAAGAGCGACCGTCTGTGGATGAGCTGGGCAATCCGCTCGGGTTTATACCGGCTGCGCCCATCACAACATTCTCTTTTCGGCAGTTTCAGACTTCGATTCACCTTCTTCGCATTCTCCAAAAGCTTACCCGGGGGAAATCACATCGCATTCTGTTCCTCGTGCAATTCAAATCTTCCCAGATTTTGCGTCGGGTACTACGCGTACCTGATCCCATGATCCGCCTATATGTTCTCAAACTCTTCAAGTCGCAAGTTCCTTACTGCGGTCGAAAATGGCGACAGAGTAACATGCGGGTCATCACAGCAATATACCTGCACTGCCGGCCCGAACTCCGTGATGACTGGCTAGCAGGGATGCATGACGCAAATGTGGAAGGCGAGGTGGATGAGGCGGTACCACTGGAATGGGCTCTAAGGGGTCTAACGTTCTGGTGGCAGAAGCGTATGTACCCCGGAGTGATGAAGCAGGGAGCTAAACAAAGAATGGCCCGTGACCGAAATCAGAAGGGGAGGTTAGGCTCGCAGGTGGCAGCGGACTTAGAGGATGAAAGCGACGCGGCCCACAATTCGATCTCATCGTTTTCGAATGTCGACTCCGATGAGGAAGATGAGGGTGGGCAAAACATCGACGCGGACGAACGTGACTTTTTCCAACGGGAGCTTGATGCCATTGGTTGGGGTTTGGCAGGAGTGCAAGTTTCTAACGAGACTGACGGCATTTCCTTTGGCGAGGAGGCTTCATCGGCAATACAGCATATCAACTTTCAGCACCAGCAACAACATCTTCCCACGAATGGCACTTCTGTCAATACAAATATGAATCAGCACGTGAGTTTCAGCCCTGGAACGGGCATTAACGGGACGACAGCAAGCGGGGAAACCCCTGCCACTTCTGGCGGACAACAATTGAGAGCATCAGCAACTACAGTGCCAGCGCCGGAGCCTCAATGGGTCGTTGCTGATGCTGCAAACTTGGAGGCATGGCAGAATGGCTAGAGGTCACTGTCAGTATCAACATGGGAGACCTATTACACGGCTTCGCCATCGCCGTTGCCTGGTAGTAATGGAGGGCTTGGTGATGACCCACCTGCACAGGAGACCGAGTACCTTACTCGGACATACTATACATGTCTGCCACGAGATGTAGAAGGCGTTCAGGAAGCAATTCGAGGAGTCGGAGATGAAGAGAGCAACCTGATTTACTGGGATGCTGGCTCGGCAGGGTCTGGAGACTCATATCAGTATGAAGCTCAATCGGAATTGGTTGCCATGGTGGAAGCTCAACCTTCGAGTGGGGTAAGTGAGTGGTCGGAAGGAAATGCCCAACTCGACTTCCACGGGCAGAACTCTTCTCCACCGCGTCTACACGCTATGCGCCGACACCGCCGACACCAGTCCCGGCACCATGGTCGTCAGTCAACGGTTTCAAGGATTGAAGGTCGGTTTGGTGCTCAGGCTCAGGCTGAGACTCGCCATCCGCCAGAAGACGGCCCCGAAGGAGAATCCCAGCTTGGAAAGAATCTCGACATGGGTGTCAGTGATGAAGAGCGACGTGTGCTGGCGGATTTCGATGCAGCAGTCAGACATATGCAGTCCTCGGGAAGGGCGAGCACCAGGCAAGCCCAGACAGTCAGACTTCACTACAGCTTTGGTGTCGAGTGAGCAACGAGTAGAAATCACGTCAGCGCTCTTCAATTAGGGGATCAAGACAAAAACACATGTTTGCAGGGACGCTCATGAGTGTATTGACGATGCGGTCTCCAGGACAGAGATTCAGAGTACATACAGAAGCGCTTAACGAAATAGAAGAACATTGCATATCATGCATGAGATTAAAAGACTGCCGTAGAGTCCAACAGACATGCTTTTAGCGACCGAGGTAATTAGTTTCCATCTTTCCTTGTTGGAAAAGAGTATTCACACAGATCAGTATGCATTGTGACACAACGCCAGCTATAACTATTTGAGTGGTGGTCATGTCAACGAACCCGTTCTGAAGAGATACTGAGATGAATTCTTAAGTCGGTCCGAGTGGAGTTTAGCATAGGAAGAGGAGTCGGGTGTGTTTCGTTGATCAACTCGCGGAGTGAAGTTGATTACGTGCTTGATCGGCCTCGCCATAAAGTGAGGAATGAGTAAGGCGAGTGGTCCTTCATCTTCGTGTTGATGCAGATAGAAATTGAAAGACTATGCGTGCATTTCACGAAACCCCCTTCAAGCGCCGTCACCCCATATTCCTACGACTCCCATGGCAAAACCTAGACCAGCAACCCAGCTTCTGACCTTTTGAACCTTACGCTCTCTTGACATTTCCAGCTCGACCTTTTCGCCATTGACTTGCTCTTCACTCTGTCCCAGTGGATCAACCTCGATGTAGCCACTATCCGACCCTGTGGCGGGACTATCTCCTCTCCTCGCGCTCGTGGCCCCACCAGATCGGCGGCCTGATCGACTTGAGTTCACGCTTGGGAACCTCGAGAGGCCGTTGTACCAGTACTCGACACCTTGACCACCTAGAAAGCTGACCAGGGCAGTCCACAGGAGATATGGGTGCTTACCGCGGGCGGGAGCAAGGGTGTACGCGGTGAGTAACGATAGTGAGGAGATGGAAGCCAAGGTCAGGATCTGGCGAGTGGATTGTGTTTGGATGGTGGTGAGTGTTCGGGCGGCGAGGGAAGCCGAGGGCAAGAGTGCGAGAGATGGAAGGATGTTTGTCAGTGTGTACGAAGTACCCTAGGTGATTGTGAGCTCTATGAACACAGAATCTCGCCTAGGGACATACCGTGAGTAGACCAAGGGATATGGTCCCTACGAATTTAGTGATGGTAATAGGGCAAGCCATGATGTGTTGGAGGGATGTGGAAAGAATCGGAGGGCTATGCAGGATCAGGATGCTGGAGGAGTCTTGTTCCGTCAGAACAGGTCAAAAGGTTGGTTTGTTGCTGCTATCCAAGATGTGCAGGTGGCGGGGTTGGGTGGTGGTCACCTCAAGGCTGTGAATGATGACCAAGGAGGCAAGTTGCGGAGCGGCTAGTGATAAAACTAGGAAGCCATGTAATATCACAGCTCATCAAGGGGCTCAGTATGTAGACAGGAGTTTCTCAATCGCAAGCTGAGTGTTTCCAAGGCGGCGACAGTGATGATGTCTGGATGGGCACAATGAGTCCTGGACACAGCGATTACGAGCTGCGGTGCCTGCAGCCGATGAGTTTATCCGAAGTCGAGCTAGCCACTGCCGCTCTATCGATGACGCAGGACACTAGCCCTATAGAAGTTAGACCCCGTTGTTCATATCAAAGCAGCAGCAAGTATCTTTTAGTTGCAGGGGAAGCCTGAAATTATTTGATTACCACTCCTTGAAGCAGGCATTTCCAATTTGCATGAGCCGAGGTCTGTCTTAGCGGAGCCGACTACGAGTATTTCCACCCTCACCACCACACCAGTTCCCCAGGAATTCAGCGCCCGATGACTCGATGAGCCACTCACTGCGGTACATTCAACTTTACGGCCGTGAACAACCTGCACTGCACCAGTAAGATCCGACTACCTTGGTATCTTCCTTCATATAGAAAGAAGGGGGAAGTGTATTTGCATCAACAACACGTTTCACATCTTCCTCTCACCCACCTTTTCCTCTGACCTCGTCCATCCACACGTTAACCATGTCGCTTCCAAAGTCTGAATATCTGTCCGAGGTGTGGAAGGATAATCTCTTCGCCGGCAAGGTCGTCTTTTGCACTGGTGGAAATGGCTCCATTTGCTCCGGTCAAGTTCGTGCCTTGGTTCATCTAGGTGCCAACGCAGTCATTGTCGGCCGAAATGTCGAAAAGACCGAGCGAGTCGCCAAGGACATTGCTACAGCGCGACCTGGCAGCAAGGTCATTGGCATTGGCGGCGTTGACGTCCGGAGTCTTGAAAGCCTCCAAAAGGCCATTGACGTCTGCGTCAAAGAGCTGGGTGGGATCGACTTTCTAATGTAAGCAATACCCTACAATCAATCCATTCTCTCTGTCCTCCTCCTACTCTTGCTCATCCTGACCAATGCCACTCATAGCGCCGGTGCCGCTGGAAATTTCCTCGCTCCTCTATCTCAACTCTCCCCCAATGCATTCAAGAGTGTCATGGACATTGACATTCTCGGTTCCTTCAATGTCACCAAACTTGCCCTCCCTCATCTTGTCGACTCTGCAAAGCGCCACAATTCGTCATCCACCCTACCTCACAACCCCACATCAGGCCCCGGAGGCAGAATCATCTATGTCTCGGCCACCATTCACTATACCGGCTTACCTCTCCAGACGCACGTCAGCGTGGCTAAAGCAGGCATTGACGCTCTCTCTGCCAACGTTGCTCTTGAATACGGTCCTTTCGGCCTTACATCCAACATCATCGCTCCAGGTCCTATTGCAAATACTGAAGGAATGGATCGTCTATCCAAACGGGCCGCCTCGAAGGACCCAACTGGGCCGAATCAAGCTCCATCAATTCCGGTGGGCCGTTGGGGCTTGGTCAAGGAGATTGCGGACGCCACAGTTTTCCTGTTCAGTGACGCCGGGAACTACATCACGGCCGATAATCTCGTCGTAGACGGCGGCTCATGGAGAATTGGTGCTGGAAGCCCCGGTGGTGACTTCAAATACCCGGATTTCTTGCTTTCGGGTGAAGAGGTGACAGGCGTCGGCGGCAGTAAGAAGAGAAAGCCACAGGATTCGAAGTTATGAACATTGCATCAAGATACAACCCGCATATCTGCTTTCTTGCAAGTCAGGCAATGGCACTGTAGCCTTGTGTTGAATAGAGTCAACATATCGAATGCGGAACTACAGCCGCATGGACTGATTATTTTATGATTCAGCTTCGCATGTTGGTCAATGGCGTGCAAGTCTATAGTTAAGGTAAAGGTTTGTGAAGTAGACATGGACGTCTTTTATTTAGATGCTTGCCCATCCTTCAAATTCGGTGTCGCCATGCTCGATGCCAATCTATGGTCCATGACCGCATGGGAGAATGTACAGATCCAAAGAGTGTATCAGCCCCTTACTAAGTTTCTAATCACATTAGGTGCTGGAAAACATTAACTATATTCCACTACAGTCGTCCTTTGCTCGTCGCGTGTCATAATCGCCTCATCTCGGTCGTTCTGTTGGCCCGAATTTATTTGTAATTCGCCCTGTTCCACGCGGTTTAGGTGTAAACAAGTAGCCGCCTTAGGCATGATGGAATATGCTCCAAAATCGCTTTCTGCTATAGATTGATTGGTCCGACCGTTCGGGGTGCGTTCCGAAGTTATTGATTGAGTGGAATTCGAATTGCAAACTCGGTAGGGGTAGGATCCTGTGGAGAAATACGGTCGCTGGTTGAATAGATGGCCGACGGACAGTCCTTCATAGGCATTGTTATATTAAGCGGATTGATTGGGGTCTCAGCATCTTTGGTGTTGTCGGCGGATCATCCTGAATTTGCTTCCACTGCTCGCAGTGAACTTCCTGTATCGAGGAGTGTTTGTCCGGCTTCGGTGTCGACTTCTCTGCGCTGTGCTCCGAGTGGCCTCAACCAGGATAACCCTCGAAATTGAGCCCGCCAACGGCTGTTGGCACACTCCTAGGTATAGGGGCTAGGATCGGTTGAGCAACATAGTTACCAGTAAAATGGTCTGGAGGGGTTCCCAAGGACCGTGGTGTCATATCAACATCGCTCGACTGTAAACTTGGACTGTAGTCATTGAACATCAACCCCCGGTCATGGACGCCTGATTGTATGCGCGGGCGCGGGGCTTGTGCCTGCCATTCTGTATGAGGTCCACTTGAAGGCATACCCAAATACGCTTTGCCCTCGAGATATCGGACCTGAGCACCCTCCGGCGGTGTTGGAGTGGGGATATTATCACTTGCGCCGGCGTAACCCTGCTTGATTGTGATAGGAACGGGGTTTATTGGAGAAGCCATACTAGGTAGGTTTTCGGAAACCTTGGCTAAAAGAAGCGGGAGATACCGCGACGCTCCTCCACGAAGTTGCGATATCAGATTCAAGAATTGATTGAGGTAGTCGGTGGGTGTCTGATAGCCCGGCCTGCTGGCCGACTCCAAAGGCACACACGCAATAACATCTGTCAGTGTGCAGGCGACATCGAACAGCTTTTCAATCAAGCCCACACCGTGGACCTCCATTGAGTGGAGGGAAAGACAGGAAATCTCTTGTAACAACTCTCGCGCAACCTCGGTCGGATATTGGAAAGTCATCGAAGTGTCTTGTGAGTTTGACGACAGGCAGCCATTGGTGATGGATAATTGCCAAACCATGATTTTCAGCCACTGCAGTGTGATTCGAACATCGGCCATCTGGCTTTCGGTGGTCTTCAATTCAGACGGCAAGGCTTCGCTGAGTTGTTTTTGAAGTCGGGACAGCCAGGCCGCTGAGCATTCACTCTTAACCTTGTTCCATAAAGCCATGAATTCGTCGTCGATGCATCGAAACAAATTGATCAGGTAGATCGTTCCTGTGATCATCTCTTCCTCTTCAGGGCCGAGTGGGGCGGGCAAATCGATGGTCGGATGGAGACTCAGTGGTCGGTGACGCTCCATAGCATAAGCTCTTTCAGTCACGAGTAGTAGCCAATAGGTGCGTCTTTTATACATGTTTTCCACCGCATCTCCCGCCAGATAGGACGACTCCTCGTGTAATGAGAGAAGTTGGGCCAGTGTTGCGGCCTCTCGGAGATGGAACCAACATGTATTCTGCTTCTCTAAAGTAAAGTAGCAGCTGAAGAGGAAAAATGATGTTTGCACCGAACTCAGAGTGGGCGTTTCGACGTAGTTGACGCTCTTCCGGACGCGAAGGATATCGTCGAGGAGCATATTGGCGTAGCCGTATCTGTTTTGTGGAGGGTCGCCTTCGTAATGACTTCCTGGGGCGACGGCCAAGTTCATCCCAGGTTGAACCATAACAAAAGCACAGAGTGAGGCTGTAAGGCAGTACACTTCGGCATCTGAGACGAGCTGAGTGGTGATGAGATTGATCAAGCGTTCCTGGTTCAACATCCAAGCAGTGGTTGACATGTTGGTGAAATAGAAGTCGATGCAGTGTTCGATGGTCTGCTGGGATAGAAGCGCCGCATTTCGTGTATAAGATGGTGACACTGGAGGGCTGCTGAAGTCGAATGAGCTTGGTTCATTCGAATGTGCTGACCTCGGTAGTGGTGGTGTTGTTTGTTGCTGGGTATCTCGGATTTCGGATATGACTTTGGCTCTGGAGCCTTTGGGACCTTTCTTCTGCGGAATGGACAGATATGTACATTGAAGGCCCGATTGACCACAGTTGTTGCATGGCAGACTTCCCGAGCATCTGACTTTGCGCCGATGGCAGGCATCGCATGCCTTCTTGACGGGAGTGGTACTCATCGTGGGGCGGGCCTGGTCAGTTTGACCGACAAGACGAGTCGACAGCTTCAGCCAAACTCGCTTTTCAGACGTCCAAGGATGGTGACTACATTAGATGGCTCCGTTATGTTCAAAGTTGACCCACACAGACAATGAAATCAGCGCAAGACTGAGGTGGTGGGAGCTTCAACTCGAAGTTGTGGGAGAATCGCTGCGAATTACCGTTCATGGGAATTTAACTTTGGGTTGCAACCCCGCCATTCAATTTGACAGGCGCCGATGCTTGGGTGGCGTTTGCTTCCAGAACCACACCAGGATGTTCATTTTTGTCAGGCGTTGGCAAATGGCGTGGGTTACCAAATCTTTAAGGCTTGTGATAGACTTGGAAAGACTACAAATTACAACGTCCGGAGCGTGGGGCAAAACCCAAGGGTGAGGTGGTTCTGTTAGTATTCAGACAACATCCACAATTTCCAGTCAAGTCTATTCTGGCTCTCCTCATCATTCGTTCTGGCCCCCAAGAGTCGAACTACTCGTGTCGTGAATCTTCGGCATATGTAGAGAGCACACAGCTATCCGGCAACACAAACTGGTTGAGTAATTTGCCGTGGGCGCAAATAAAGCACCGATCACCATCGCTGGCTCATACAAACAGCGCGAAGCTGCTTTACCCCTGGAGTAACTCGAGATGGCTTTGAAGTCCTGAATGAAGATGGCCTGTTGGTAGATGAAGACGAGAGTGCGGTGACTCTCAGCTTGACTTCGCCAATTCCTTTGCCCTAGTTTCTGATAGTCTCCTGTGAGTCGAATAGGGAACATCGACGAGCACAGTCCAGCATCATTTGCCGCCCATACTTGAGATGACATCCCTCTGTGCTTGTCGGTCTCGATTCACGCCAGTCAAGGGAGCAACACTCCGTAGATCTCCAACAATATCTTTTGCCTTTCCAAAGTAGACCTCTTGCAGCAGATTTCTCATCTTGCCCTCCATATCTTCAACCAGACGGCCGGCGTTGCATACATGGCCTCCGTCTTTGCCCAGAGCCCCAACGGATTCCGCCACCAGATCAGCTTCGACTTGTCTTGTCATGCTGCCTGCCAGATTGAGAGAGCCGACTGCCTCGGACTCTCGGCCCAGATGCAGGATGACCGTACTTGTCAACTTGTAGTGGCATGTACGTGCTCCGCCTCTTCTCTCGTCGACTTCGAAAACGTGAATACTGTCCCAGCCAGCCTCTTTGCCTACACTCTTCTTTAGCAGCACCACCCCGGCAAAACCGTCGTCCAAGTCCCACAGATAGACGCTGCCGATGCCACCCTCATAGTACATTTGTCTGTACACTTCGAATGCTTCGTTGGCCTCGACTTCCATCTTTCTTACCCGGTCGCTGGGGTAGGTAGCATCATCGAGTGCAGGATCGAATTCATTGCTCCAAGGACTTCGATAAGAATCGCCATCTCGGTTGTAGTCACACAAAAGGTAGTCCCGCCCGGTCTTCTTGTCCCTTGCTGAGGTCAGCGGCTGGTCGACGGATGAGAGAAGGTCCTCGGTGAGGTCAGGAACGAGGGCAGTGATTGCGTCGAGATTTTTGGAAACGGAGAGGGGTGATAGGCGTCGAAGGAGATCTCTATCGACACAGTGGGCGTTAGCTTGCACGTAACCCTGCTGCAAACCGAATTGATATGGGTACATGTGCGAGACGCGGGGTTCTAATGCGCAAACAGTCGGCACGACTCACAGAGCGGCATCGAACTGGGCCTCGTTAGACATTGTGACCAGGATTCAAAAGAATAAAACCAGCAGATGCGTATCTCATAAGACCTGGCGGGAGATCTGATTCACAGTGTTGTAGTTAGCGTATGAGGGGTGAGTCCGTGAAGACCACTAGCATTCGGGATCAAGGTTGTCGGCTGTCCTGTTCCATCTTCAAGTTAAGTGTCAGTGAAGCTGGCCTAGCAGAAAGAGGGAGTACCTCGTATCTCGTACTCAGACTGCACCCACAATGATGCCAAGACATACTGTGCCACAGTGATAGAATAACACTAATGTAGGTACCTATTGTGGCGTCGCATTTTCAAACTCCAAAGTTCTTCTTTAAGCACCTGAAGTACTTTGGTAACTAAACCTACAATCGCATTTAATCCCAGGACATGTATGATCTTGGAGATCATGTCGAGCTTTCCACCTATGTTAACTCCCTGCCAAAAGTGTGGTTTTGGAGATACTCTCAAACTCCATCCATATTCAAGATAATGAATCCCGGTCCGCCTATTACCTATGTCTTATCCCACTGCTCAAAACACTGCTCTTGCACCCATCTGCCCAACCTTACGATGCGTTTATCGATTCTATTGAAATAGTCCGCACACGTAAAAACTGCTACGTGCATGATCAAGGCCCCTGGGAGAACACCCCATCCTTTATCCCACCCGTATGCCTGCCGCACATCCACCTCGTACCAGTGGCCGATGATTGCCACTAACAGAGGGACATGTAGTGCGTAGATTCCGAAACTAAGCTCGCCAACGTACTGACTCCACCCATACCGTAGTGGCGCCTGAAGCGTCGGATACATCTCAAGGCCAAGGACAAGGAAGAATGATCCTATGCCTAAGTACCAGTAAGTCCTATCTCCGAAGCCTAGATAGCCAGGAAGCCATGAGCGCAAGAATGCCCAGGGCCAGTCGCCGAAGATTCCGAGTGCGTTGGTATCACTGTCAGGCTGTCCCAGCAGAAAGAGGCCGACAATGAAAACTAGTGTCCAAAAACACTTTGAGGTCACGTTCTGCTGCTGTAGCTTAGTCCCATGTTCCGGCAGCGAGACCGCTGCGGCGAGACGCTCTGGATAACATAATAGTGCGATTTCGGCGACGAGCATACCCATAAAGAATTCTGCTATATAGAGTGCGATCCATATATAACATACTATTATGAGTAGGCAAGTCAACGCCACGCGCGTATAGACATGCAGCTTGCAGGTTGCCGCAATATAGATAAAGATAACCATACTGCCGCGTAATTCAACGGGGATAGTCCACATCGGACCGAGATATTTGTTCTGTAGGCCCCCTTCGGTATAGTAGCCATAGATTGTATTGGCGAAGGGGTTGCAAAAGTACACGAGCGTCCAGAACCAATCGTATAGCTGTGACGATAAAGATTCAATATATACCGGCCATTTACCGCCGTTGTAAAGGCCCAGCCGGACTAAGATCAGCGCCGCGAATAGCGCCACGGTCGTCGAACCGTAGAGACGCATACCACGACGGAAAGTACTGCTCGCTAAGCCAAGTAGCACCTTCTCACTAGACCGGGTACGTGAGTAGACGAGAAGGCGATAGCTCAAGACGTAGCCGGAGATAACAAAGAACAGCGAAACCATGGCTTCACCAGCCATGAGCGCTGAGAGAAATGGCTGATGATTGTACCAGAAGTGATAGTCTTTATAGCCATGTGCGAGGAACACATTCCACGCTGCGTAGCCACGAAGAGCGTCGAGATAGGCTGTTGGACCCGGGGCGGACTCAATGCGAAGGGAGGCAGGTCTGTAGAGACGGGGTAGGGCTTGAATGAGGGCCTGCTTAAGATCATAGACGGTAGGTTGCCGTGTGTAGGTCTCCCAGTTTGCTCTACTTAGAAGTCGATTAGAGATGTTGCGCCAAAAGCTCGAATGAGGATGCGGCGTGTAGCTTTGTGGGTTAGCGTCGTTATGAATAGATAACAGATTTGGGTCATCGTGGTATTGATCTTCGAGCGGAATTCCACTTTGCTGTCCGTTTTCGTCGTCCTCTAGCCTTGTGTAAAGAAATGGGTCGGACTTAGCCATCGCGAGATAGATCCTTGTGCTCTTGGAGATACTGCCATTCCAGCGAAACTCAGCGTGTACATGTCGTATGGTGCATATATAGAGTATGCCCGCCCCCGTTCTGTCAAGATTCTGTTAGCGAGATTGAGAAAGCCAACAGCTGTCATCCCCTAAGCCTGCAGACTGGGCTGTGATCAATATATGCACTTCCGAGTGGACGGGGCGCACACCTGGCTGTCATGGTGGCAGTCTGCCAACTGACATAAGTTGCCAAGCCATAAGTCACGGGTTACTCACGTGACTCACGAGCGCGCGCACACCCCAGCGCAATACTCTCTCTTCTATTCTAGTTATTACTCTCCGTACTAGAATTCAAAGCATATTGCACCCCTACACTGGCTGTGCCGCCACCCGTGCATCGTGATACTGGCTTTGAGAGTAAGACGGGAGATAAGCATCCGACAGCAGCGTGTTTCTCAGCTACGACACTGGCGCGGAGACAAAATAAAGGAAGCAGCAGCTACCTCACAATTGCCCCTTAATATGACATGCGTCTGTACGCAATCGTAAATTACGGCTGATGCCACACTGAGGGTAACCCGTTAGATTCTATCACGGGGCAAGCACGGAAGGGGGGTTTCCCAAGTGTATACTTGGGCACCGACACCACATCTTGGCGGGTCAAGCAGTCAAGCAATGTAAAAACTGCTCGCAGCTCACGTGGGCGCTCAACACGAGTATGCCGCTTTCATAACGACTCGCCCTCGCTTTGTTAGTGAAAGATCCCGCCTATGAATGCCTCGACGAGTAGGCCGAGCTGAAAAGGTGTTGGATAACTGTGCGGTAGTGCTTTCCAGCTTCGCAGTGGGACGATTGTCAAGGCCGAGGAGAGTGTTCGTCAGGAATTCCCATGTCTATATCGGAAAGTGGCCCTCTGTAATGTATGTGGACCACCCAAATTGAGTGGGAACCAGTTTCTCCATACCGAGAAAGGAAAGTGTTGACTATAAGCTTTCATTGGGCGAAAGCATTTCTAGTGGCTCTCTTTCTGGGGATTAGAAGCTTTTCCACGCTCGCTCTCGAGGAAGGTCGCGTAACTATGACGAAAGGCTATCATCGCATGCCGCTGGGGTATGGCCCAAGCCCAGGACCACGTCAAGACACCCAGGGACGTCCTTACTCGGGCTGGTCAGAGAGCTCTTCAGAAGTCTATACAGTCACTTTCCGGGCGCCGCGCCATCAGCTGGCAGCTTTGTTACCACACGAAAGCTTCTCCATCGAGGCCCAGGGCGAGAGTGCTCAAGCGTCTTTCAAATTCACGAAGCTTGTTAATCTTCCATGGCTGGCTGGCCGTGGGTACAATCATTTTGGCCTCTACATCCACGATGTCGTCTGTCGTGGAAACAAGAAGAGATCCATGGAGCGTACCTCAGCGTTCTGTTCGAGAACATGGCAGATCCAATCATCACGGGGCGCGACGAGCTTGGTTACGCCAAGATATTTGCAACCTTGGACGATACTCGGGACTCGAGCAGTTTGAATCTGGAGATGGGTTGGGAAGGCTCCCAATGGGGACACCTGGCGATCCGGGGCCTCCAGAAAATCTCGGAAGACACAGATGAGTACTTGATCAAGCCGTTGCTTCATCTCAAATATTTTCCGCGGACTGGCGATGTCGGTGCTGCAGATGTCGAGTCCCCCACAGTCACTCCAGGCAGATCGGTATGTCTCCAGGAGGTCTATGAGGCAGAACCGACCAATGTAGAGCTCAGCTTCAAGTCGCTGGGCTGGAACTCTTTGCCCACTCTTCATCATATCGTGGACAAGCTAGCCGGCATTCAAATCCTGGAGATTGAGAAAGCCCGTTTCGAAATTCAAAAGGGAGGTCATGATGTTGGCACTCAACGCTCCATCTTGGTCGAAGACAAAAAGGCTTGACCGTGACTTGGAGACTGGTTGATGATCAAAAATGATGGTGTGAAGCAATTTCTGTGTCCAGACGATGTAACCAGCGCTGTCCTATATAGACGCAATATAAATCAAGGAAGAACAAATGCGTGTCAAGCCCATATGGAGAAAAGGAATGTGAGAAGCTGGGCCTAAGTACATAGATCTGCTGCATACCTTGAAATCTGGCATCATTGCCATGTGGCCCTGACAGCCTTGATGTAGAAGCTCTGGCAACCAGGCTCCAGCACTCCTTGATCTATCTAAGCCATGTGTGAGACATTCATTGACGCATCTGCCACAACATCATACGGTTGGTAGGGGCGGGCCACTGTTAGGGTGATCTAACTCTGCCAGATGGCGGCCGACACAATCCTGGAGACCATAGCTGAAGGGTCTCGACATTTGTCTCTTTTCTTCCGTTGTTCCCTCTGCGCTCGTGGCCTACAGGACTGCGTATTCACGATTATGGGCGTTGCAGAAACTTATGATCGGTTTGCCAGAACCTCTGCAGACGCGGTGTAAATCTTTTTAAGAATATCGAAGGACAGTGAACATTTGTGGGCTTGATCTATTACAAAGGATCCAGTCTACCATAAGCCCAGCTCAGTTCTCGCACCAAACCAGCCCTCTACCTGTATGCTCTCAAGCAGGAGGAATAATGGGCAGAGTCAGGTAGTTGAGGTAATCCGGACCAAAATGGATGTGATTCATGCCGGCAAACTTCTCGACGGACCTGATCGTCAAATAAATGGTCAGCTCTGATTTGGCTAGGGTTAGAAGCTCTTACCTTTCAGCAGTATCGTGTCCAGAAAGACCAATGCCCTGCGTATCTCCACTGGCGACCTCGAAGACTAGTCGATCTCCTGTGGCCACTACGACATTCGTCGCCCACACTTCTACGTCCACGGGGTATACTTCACCAGGCAGCACAGGGAGAAGATCACTCTCAAAGTAATCCCTATGTGGCAGCCACGAGCGATGTCGAGGATGTTCTGTGTTGACGTGCCTGAGCGAAAGTCTCTGCCAGCCTTTGCACAACGGGATGGGCTCGCCAGTGATGCCGGTGTAGAAGATTTCTTCGCTGTCCGCGCCGTAGTGCCGGAGAGTGAGGAATAGATCAATGTCCTTTGGTACCGGACCTCCCGGGAGAGCCGTGACGGATACATTCAGATGGGCGACAATATAGCCGGTTATTTCTGTTTCCTGTGGGAAAGGTTCGCTTTTAAAGTGTACAAACTCTTGGTGGTCGATGTTACCCAGAGCTCGGTAAGAGACGCTGTCACTGCTTCGTGCGTTCGGGATCGTCTCTGATAAACCTTTGTCCGACGTAAGATAAAACTGCGTGTACTGTGTCCGTGCCAATGGCCTGGCCACTCATTCTCGAACCGGCGTTTAGATGCCTCCTTCTCGGCATCACGATTGTTCACACCAACGTTGCCCTTCCGTATAACAAGGTCGACTGGAGGCCGGGAGCCATCGGTCCAGCCGCCACGATCCTCGCCCTTAAGGAAGGCGTCGAAGAAGCTCATCTGGACTTCCACTTGGTCATCGTCATAAAATGGCAAATCATGACGTCCAGTGATCATTCGGAGAAATTTCTTCTCAGAACCGGCGTGTCGATATCCTTCGTAGTTTCCGCGCAAGTGAATCATGATACTGCCCCAGTTTCCGATAGAGAGCAGTGGAACTGCGATGTTTTCGAGGTTATATTCTCGAGATGCGTAGTAATTCTCATCGCGATAATGGAATTGGGCGTTATCCACGGTTTGGTCGTCAAGATTCGCAGCGAGCTCTTCGTCGTTCAGAATACCCTCGATTGTGTCGGGACCCCAGGTATCCTTCCTCGGCCGGCCATACTGTAATGCCAGTACCTGACGATCAAACCACCATTTCAAGAAGCTAGTCAGGATACCTGCGTGTCGGCATCGGTCCCGAGAGTAATCTGCCATACTATCGGTTGGACAGATAGCTGCGAGCCCTTTTGGACGACGCACAGCGACCCTCCACTGACTTCCGGCGAAGTAACTTATACCACAAAGACCGACTTTCCCATTGCTCCAGGTTTGATCTGCCGCCCATTCAATCACGTCGGCAAACGCGTCCGAGGTCGACTTGGACATAGTTTCTAAGACACCGGGCGATTGGCCTAGGCCAACTTCGTCAGCCCGAAGTACTGCATAACCATGGCTAGTCCAAAAGCCTGGGTCCGGAGTTTCAAATGAACAATGCGCAGACTGATGTTTAGGGTTGATCTCGGGAAACTTCGGGTGAAAGCTGTCTCGATAGTCAGAATGTGGCTCAGGCCAGGAAGATTTTCACTTCGGCTTTCGACCTACTGTTTATAGTGTATATCTTTTCCGTATGGCCCATAGGTAATCAAAACCGGCACTGGTGTAGTCGTCTTTAGCCGATATATATTGCAGCGAACAATCGCATCAAAGCTTTTTAGCTTGATCGTCACATTTTCCTCCTAGATATATGGAAAGGACTTGTCGTCCACGAATTGTAAGTCTTCCATGATCTTATTGAGCATATTTACACTATCGTTTCCAGGTCTCAACAGGTCACGGCACCAGAGCTTGTGCTGGTTTAACTGTTCGCAGGCACCAATTGGTTTTTGCGGCTGTCTGACAAGGCATTGCCGCGACGCTACCATCTGCCGGATTATGGCTGAACGCCTCTAAGTCAGAATCCGTGCCGGAACGCGACATTATACACCCGCACGTCGTAGTCGGATACGAATAGGCCTTTGGCCACGCACCTCAACAGGTCGGCAGCGCCCGTGTGACGGAAGAGTTACGCGGGTCGCCGACGGATTGTCATTTCACCACGGGCGGGGACTGGAACCTCTGCATACGACTGAGATGCGCTTCTAGGTTATGTAATAAGTCGAGTAGCCTTGTTGTTACGAGCTTTTGAGTATAAGCCTACGAAGCCTGTTCTTCCCTATTTTTTCCCGGGGAGGGTGCCTAGAACGGCCAAGTTTCTAGGTACCTCTCTAGGTAAGGAAGGGGAGAAGAAGTGGGATCCGGGGGACATGTGGGTGACGAGGGACTTTTGGAAACCAATGTGGGCTAGTTGACGAGGTTCCATCTAGGATCGACGTGGGCTAGTTGACGAGATTCTAGCCTTGGATTTTTGCCACCCTTTTCTCACTACAAACAGTACCCCAGGGGCCCGCCGTGCTCGCGGCGGGCGGGAGAAAATTTTCTCAGGGGGGCGGGCGCCTTAGGGAGACGGTATGGGCTAGTTGACGGGAAATCGGTGTGGGCTAGTTGACGAGAATCGGT